AATGTTTAACCTAGAATAGAAAAGAGCAAGAAATAATAACCTGTCTGCAAAGTATGGATAGCTACAGCTGTCGTGTGGAAAAGAGACTAAGACATTTAGTGGACTATAGGGTAAAATTAGCACTTGGTAGGGGGCAGGTAATGAGAGAAGATTTATATCTTTACAAGGAAAGACTTTGTGACTATTTGTGCCCATCTAAACCAAATAATAGGTTGCTTTGGGAGAGCATGAATCAGGTTGTTAAGTTAACAACCTGATAGAAAAATCACACAGGAGAGTCTCTCTCTCATTCTCTCTCCCTCCCTCTCTCTCTCTCTCTCTCTCTCTCTCTCTCTCTCTCTCTCTCACACACACACACACACACACACACACACACCGGAAAAGTAAAGGGAAAGCATCCAGGCCTTGAGTTAAACCCCCAAGTACTGGCATAAAACTTCTCTAAGAGAAATGTATATTTGGTAGTTTTAATATTATTTTGTAATACTTGACATACAAAGATTAGATGGACTTTAAATCTATATGCACCTTCATAGAAAATTATTTTTTGTAAATTTGTTAATAACCAACTGTATAATAACATAACCAACTGTTGCGAAATTTTGATTCATTCTAGGGCATGTGTGTGTGTGTGTGTTTGCATCTCACTGGGGTTGTGAATTCAGCACTCTCATGTTTTATGTCATTACCCCAGATATTTTTTTGTTTTACTTTTTTTTTTTGCCAGTTGTGGGGCCTGAACTCTGGGCCTGTACACTGTCCTTCAGCTCTTCAACTCAAGGCTAGCGCTCCACCACTTGAGCCACAGCGCCACTTCCAGCTTTTTTCTTTTTGCTTATGTGGTGCTGAGGAATCCAACCCAGGGCCTCGTGCATGCAAGGCAAGCACTTTACCACTGAGCTACTTTCCCAGCCCCTTACTTTTATTTTTTTAGGTAGGTTCCTGTGCCTTTTGCCTGAGGCTTGCTTAGACAGCTTCCCCCTTCCCCATCTCTACTTCCCATGTAGGTGAGATTACAAGCAATAATTCTATTCACTATTTGTGCAGAAAGAATTCATTTTTGGTAGATATCAAAAGTCTGAGAAGATCATTGTTTATTAAAATGTTTTGATTAGAAACAGAAATTGTATAAAACCTCAGACAATAGTTATATTGATAGAATATTACTCCTATTTCTTAATGTAAAGTTATCTATAATTAATTTTAGTGTATTACCCCAAATATGCTGTTTCCTTTCCTATACCTATATCATATAAAGAAAAATGTAGCATGTGGAGGCAAGGTCAAGCATTGGCATAAAAAAAAGCTCTGAGTTCAAGCCCCAGTCACAAAAAGAAAGAGAGAGAGACAGAGAGACAGAGGTATGGAAGAGGAGGAGAGAGAGGGGGAAAAGGAGTGGGAATGAGAAAGGGAGAGGAAAGGGAAGGTAGGAAAGGGAAAAGGAAGGTAGAGGGGGAGAGGGGGAGGGAGAGGGAGAAGAAAAGAGAAAGGGGGAAAGAGAGGGAATAGGAGGGGAAGAAGGAGGGGGAAGGAGAGGAGAAGAGGGAGGGAAAGGAGGAGAAGGAAGAGGAGAGAAAAAAAATATATTCAACAAGTCCCATACACCAAGTTCCAGCCCTCAAATTTCTTCCAATTTATCTCAGTGTGCCATGCAAAAAAAAAACCACATACATATGTATTTGTATGTATATATATATATATAATTTTGCCAGTCCAGGGGCTTGAACTCAGGGCCTAGGCACTATCCTTGAGCTTCTTTTGCTCCAGGCTAGCATTGTACCATTTAAGCTATAGCACTACTTCTGGCTTTTTCTGTTTATATGGCACTGAGGAATCAAACCCAGGGCTTCATGAATGAATGCTAGGTAAGCACTCTACCACTAAGCCACATTCCCAGCCCCTGATTTTTTTGACAAACATTGTCAAATTATTGTTAAAGGCAATTTTTTTCTGTAATTTGTTACCAAATACCTCCTAGTTGATTACACAATTAGTGTAGGTAAGTCTACCTGATAACTAGGAAATGACAAACCTATTTGCTAGCCCTTTCTTTTCATTTTGATATGGAATCTCATTATGTTATTCAGGCTTAGCTTAAGTGGCCCTCTTACTTCAGCCTACCTAGCAGCTGGCACTAGAAGAGCATACTACCATGTCTAGTTCTTGCCTCTTCTTTGAAAATCTTAAAACAGGGGAGGGGGGAGGCTGGGAAGGGATGTGAAGGGTAAACAAAGGAGGAGGCTGCAATGCTTGGTAAGAAATGTACGCATTATCCTGCCCATGTAACTGTAACTCCTCTGTACAGTATGTTCACAAATAAAATTAAATTAAATTAAAAAAAAAAAAGAAAATCTTAAAACATAATTATGAATATCATGACATGTTCTTTCCTTTTACCTAAGTGTTTACATGTTCATTTTGCAAGAAACCATTAATAATACTGTTTAGTATACATGGAGGTTCATATTATATTTTACAATAACAAAAATCTTAAATATTTGCTAAGCCTAAAGAGAATGGTGATCTATAAAAACATATTCTTGCTTTGTTCTCATAGTAGCCCTGTTCTTGCTACTTTCCAAGTAAATGATTAACTGCCTCGCTGGGGCGCTGGAACTAATCATAAAAGGCCTATCACTCTCTTGATAATTCATAATAGATGCAAGTTCTTTTTAGTTTCTGAATTATATTATTTACTATATAACTTTATAAGATCAAAGAAATACTGTGAATATCAACTTAAAATACATCATTGGTTCTTCTAATGCCTAATGTAAAATATGAACTGGAAGGGCCTTGAATCTACAAATCAGGACAGAATTCACCATTGCTGTGAATAAGTTAACATGGATCATAAATACATTTATGCTCCAAGCATTGGAAAAATCCATTTGTCCTATAGCTCATAAAAATAGTTGCAAGCAAGATCCATCAGCAAAAATCCAAACAATTTCAGAATAAAGTATGAATAATATTGTGTATTAGAATATTACCCTGTTTCTCTGATAATAAATATATCAATTAAATGTCTTGTAAATATATCAACTAACTGTTTATTCTAGGCTTGTATGAAACTTCATTTAAGACAAATGCCTCATTAATGAGACACTGACCTTATGGTCAACACTCTGCTAATCTGATTTCCTTGAACAACAATAAGAAAGGAATAAACGTATTCCTGCTCTGATGATATTTTACCATCATTGAATATTTGTCACGGGTTTCTCTTGCTTTGCTGGTGCGCTGTTAGCATCTATCTGCTGTCAGAATGAAGCGGTCTCAAGAGCCTGAGGCAACAACTCTGGTAAGACATGAAGAAAAAAGACAGCTCACTGGATCACTAACTCTCACGTGTGGATTTACAGATCAGAGGGTACAGCTATCCATCTGGGACCATTCCACAGCATTTCAATTACCAGGTGTCTTACCAATTTTGGTATTTGTGTAAAGATGTCTTTAAAGAAATTGTCAGAACATTTCTGTTCTTCTGTCCTTCTTTCCGGTTTGCTTCGCCCCCCCCCCCTCCCTAAATTAGATTACTGCCCAGGCACTTGGAACTTTAAAAATCAGAAATTTCCCCTAGCCAGAGGAAATACACTGGCAAGCTCCCTTTCTCCTCCCTGCAATTTTACTTTTGAGCTGAGTCCAACTCATTCCAGAGAACAAGATGCAAATAGTCACAATCATGAACCTAACCACACACCCCCTTCCGGCCATTTTCCCGTTTTGCTGTTTAAAGGAAAGGAGCCACACAGGTCAAAAGCGAAACAGCTTGGAGCTGGCCAGCTGCAGAACAGCCCAGCTTTTTGGTGCTCAGAAGAGAGAGCAAGCCGACAGCAGCGGTGGCGCTGTCCAGATCCCGGTGCTGAATATTACACGTTTGAGCGTGTCTCCTGCCAGGTTCAATCCTCACCATTTGAAGAGGTTTTGTTATGATAGACCCCGAATATAATTCTCTTAAGGGGTTGGGCGGGGTAGGGAATTCATTTAAGTGTTCCTTTCTTTTCATCAGAACAGTCCTTCACAAAGACACATTATGCATTTCATGGCATAGTAATGGCACAGTTTCTATTAAACACCAAAATGAAAAGCTCTAAGGGGTAGAAATGGAAAGTTCAAGGTTCATGAAACCTAATGTGTGTTTTCTCTCTGATTCAATACAACAGCCCTTAGAGCCCTAAGTCCCCTTGTCAGTTAAAAATAATTTCCTGTTTGAACAATCATGGGATTAATCATTGTTCTGATTAAGCGCTGTAATGGTGGTGGTACTGGGTTCTTTGCTCTCTGGGACAGACTTTTAAATAATGTTTCATTAAGGTTTAGAAACAGTAGAGAAAGAAGGAAACTTGTGAACTACGGTGACTTGAGTGATTAAAGATGTATTTTAAACAGTGTTGCTTTAACCTTGTCTTGGGGAAATGCCCATTTTCTTATGTGATTTAAAGCCAAATTGGGGTAGTGACTGCTCTTAGCCCTTCCAGACGCTCTCTGATCTGAAAGCTCTAACAGCTTTTTTTTTTTTTTTAATGACAGTTGCTGGTACATACCCAAAGGAACATTAAAACAATCCTACACCCATGCCCCGCCCCCATGCACTCGAGATAATATAAAGAAAATGGATGGAAGAGACAAAAAGTGCTCCACTTCTAGCCTTTAGCTCTTGGGTAGTTGCATTCAAATACAAACACTTGTCTTTGAGAAGTGAAGATGTTTCTCGTAGCGACAATATTCATGGGCACACATCAGATTTCACTGATCCCAGCAAACAGTTCCTTCCTTTTCTTGATCCCTGGCTGCTTATTTTAGCAGCTTCTCCACCCCGCTGGGAATACCATCCAGATCTCAGTCCAGGTAGATCTGACGTCAAGAGATGGCTTTCGTCGATTTGACGTGTAAACACTCATTTCCATTCTGGCTGGGAAGGGCTGGGGCTCCACTCAGCCGCGAGACCGCAGCGCTTCAGTGAGCGCTCGCCGCCGCCCATACTCTGCTCTCCTCGCGCGCCTCCTAGCTCTTCCCAGAGCAATCAGGAGCTAGGAGGGGTTCCGGAGCCCGAGGCTGGGAAGATCGAGTCTGCCTGGTTCTTTCTCCTCTTACTGCTTCTTTTCCTGCTCTCCTTCCCACTTGGGCGCGAGTGGCTGAGCCATGGAGGGAAGAGCCTGGACTGGGCAGTGGATGGTATTCGCCTTCTTTGGCGCTTGCTGTGCACTGAGCGGAGTCACAGCCAGGAGGCAGTTTGTTAATGAATGGGCGGCAGAGATCCCCGGGGGACCGGAGGCAGCTGCGGCCATCGCCGAGGAACTGGGCTATGACCTTTTGGGTCAGGTAAGAGTTGACACTTCCAAGAAACTTTCTGGGACCCGAGGGAACGGGTGGGACCGGTCCACGGTGTCCCGAGTGGAGCCCTCGGTTACACTGTCCTGCACGGTGTGACAGTGTGGCCGTTTAGTTTTCGCCCCTGGCGCGCTTTTAAAGGGAGAGGGCTTGCGTGATCTTCTGGGTGGCTTGGTCTGAGCCAGGCAGAAGGAAGCAGCTGCAGCTGTGGACAGCTTATTCTTACTATTGTCCGCTCCAGAATTGAAATTCATTCTTGCGCTGCTAGGAAGAAGAAAGACGAAGAGGGGCGGGGGGAAAATCCCTCCACGCTGGTTCAGGGAACTTGAGATGCACCAGGCTCTCGGGCGCCCCTGGGAGAGGCGGTGCGCTCAGTTTCGCCGGGACTCGGGCGGGCTGCGTCAGGAGCCGGCCCTTCCATTCTTTTCAATATGGCAGCATCAGATGCAAGTCCTGATGTGAGGGGCCAGCAGGCTGGGGGCGGGGGGGGGGGATGCCCGCCCGCAGCGTAGCGGGGCGGGGGCTCCCATGGTGCGGAGAGCGCGCCAGCTGCTGGGACTAGCGAGTCGGAAATTAGAGAGCAGAGGAGTGTCTGGGGAAGCTGGCGGGAAAGGAGGTGACTGGAAGACGCGGGAACCTCTCTTTTGCCACTCCGGGAGCCCAGAATCCTTCCCTGGGAACTTGGGAAGTGGCAGTTCCGTAACTTTGTTTGGTCAATGCCCCTGCCAGGCTGAGCTGTGAACCGACCCCTGGGGGGAAAAGGATCTCCGTGTTTCTTGTTCCTAGGCTGGTGCGTAATGGTTTCCTTAGAGGTCCCAGATTAACAGAGAAACTGTTGCCTGTCTAAATTGGGGAAGGGGGTGGGGCTGGGTTAATTGCTGCCAAGGGGAGCCCAAGGGTTTTTAAGAGCTAGCCTGCTTGGTCGAACGGTTCCCTGGGGATCCCGGGGAGGGTGAATTCTAATCTGGATCTTTCCTTTTCTTTGATGCTTCATCCAGCCTTCTCCCCGCCCCCACAGCCCCTCACCCCCACCCCCCCTCGCCCTCCTTGAAAGTTGGTCTGCCTTGCAGCGGGGGAGGAGGGAGTTGTAAAACATTTTGGCGCGTTTTCTTTTCTGGAGGTGGTGATTGAGATGCTGAAGTCATGGATGAGTAATCGGCCCGCGTAGGCGTCGGCGATTCCTTAGATCGAATCCGCCGGGGAAAACGCCTTCTCTCGCTAGCGGCTTAGTTCTCCAACTTTGTGAGCCAAGCTGTCTTTGAAAAGCCAGGCAGGAAAGTCAATACCCAGATTGATTTCCCAGCGTCCCCAGTAGCAGACCTAGCCTTTCGCATTTGTACCGGGCCCTGTGCCGGGGCCCTGTGTTAGGAACCGAGACTGGCTTAGAAACAAATGGTGGTAACCAAATGTAATTTGTCTAGTAAGAGAAGCTGAGCTTGGAATCTCAATACGGTACCTTTTGACTGAAGGAAAGAAAGTGAATGGAGACGCGTGAAAGAAGCCTGCCCAACGAAGGAAACATCTGCACAGGGGTTAGGAAAAAAGAAGCAGAGGTTGCCAGGAAGGAATAATGAGGTTGGAGAAGGCACTCTAGTCATAGAAAACAGCATGGGTGGGGTGGCGTGTGGGTGGGAAGGAACAGAGAAAACTCAAGAACCTTAGTAATAAGTCCGGTAGCTATGCAATTGGGAGTTTGGAATCCAAACGAGAAGGTGAGTAGCAGACAGAACTCTATTAGTGGGTACTACAAGCATCATGGATATCCTATATATTTTATGAGGGTAAAAATGTAAATTTTAGCCCTTGGACAGCTTGGTAAATTTATAGAAGGAGATTGGGAGAGAACGATAAAATAAATCTCCCTTTCTCACCTATTAACCACAGACACACATTCAAACCCGGATCATTCAATATGAAAATTCCCTTTCAAAATAAATAAACATAAATCCAGAAATAAAAGGTATTAAGTCAGCTTTGTTGATACACTCTATGGGATAGAAATGGCATAGTCATGACAATAGTTTAAAGTAATTCATCATGTATGTTAACATAAGATTTGCAATGCTGTCTTCCTTGTAGTCATTTCGAGTTAAAATACATTATTAACAAAGATTTTAAAAATGTAATTATATGTAATTAGTGTTACTACCCTAAAATATTATGATCTCAAGATAAAACTAAGGTAGTGTTAAGGAGCAAAAGCAGCTGGCAACAGAAACAGAGCTAAGTGATCTTTTTTCTTTTCTCTCCCAAATCCATTTACAGCTCATATCAGATTCATTGCCTAAGAGCAGTCTTATAGCAGGGACTAATCACCCCTATCAAAAAATTCTCCAGGTGATGGGAACCACCACATTTCTTTTTTTTTTTTTTTTTTTGTCTTTTCTTTTTTGGTACTGGGGATCGAACCTAGGACGTTGCACTTGCTAGGCAAGTGCTTTGCCACTGAGCTACATCCCAGCCCCACCACATTTCTTTGGAAAGAAGTGTCAGGTTTTTTCTTTTTTTCTTAACTTAAAATATGCAGGGCATCTATAAGAGGCTGTAGCTTCAAATTGGGTTCTGTTTTATGTAAAGGCGCATTAGTTTGAAAGAATACTTACATTTATAAATGAACCCTAGGTGTTAATGACCATCCAGGAAAAAATATGTACAATCTAGTAGAACACCTGCCTTAAACATAGCATACTATTTCTTGAGAACCTTGAATTACTGGAAAATCAAAAGAACACCAATAATAGCTTTTAATGTTTATTATTATGGATTCAATGACTATAATTTTTTTTTGGTTGGTTGTGGGGCTTGAACTCTGGGCTTGGGCGCTGTCCCCGCGCTCTTCAGCTCAAGGCGAGCACTATACCGCTTGAGCCACAGCGCCACTTCCGGCTTTCAAGTGGTTTATTGGAGATAAGAGTCTCACGGACTTTCCTGCCCCAGCTGACTTTGAACCGTGATCCTCAGATATCAGCCGCCTGAGTAGCTAGGATTACAGGCATGAGCCACTGGAGCCCGGCAATGAATATAATTTATATTAACAATGTTTGTTTTAGCAAAATGTAGTGCCAACTACAGATAGTATCAAAGAAGTTTGCTTGCTTTTCAAAACTGTATGGACAAAATACATTTGGTTGCATAGATATTTTAGGGGAACGATCTTCAAATAGAATAACTTCTCAGACACATACACACATTTATCAAAGTTAGTTCTAATATGTATGAATCAGATGTATCAGTAGTTCCCATACAGACTGTGAGCCCAAGCAATAATATCTTTAAGGTCCTGTCTAAACCTATAACACTGCCTTCTACATGAAGAAAAAAGTTGCCTTCAAGGAACTAGCAACCCGGAATGGGCTGAATAAAGGTTTCCTGTCTCTCTGTTACTTGGTTTTGAAATTGTCTGCACATACTCATTTGGAAAGCAGATTTTGATTTTGATTTTTTTATAGATTGGATCACTTGAAAACCACTACTTATTCAAACATAAAAGCCATCCCCAAAGGTCTCGAAGAAGTGCTGTTCATATCACTAAGAGATTAGCTGACGATGATCGTGTAAGTGTTGTGCATTTGTTCTCAACTCAGTGACTTAATCTGCTTTCTTTGTGATTTCCAGTAAGACAAAATGTATGTTGCAAGCAAATGTGATTCTTTTTTTATTGTAATCATAATTTTTTAATCTGTAGTATTTCTAGTCTCTTTCCATAAGGTTATATTGCACACTAGTAATAAGTTTAGATTGAACCAACAAAGTTAATTATATATGTATGCACTGTAATTACATATAATCTGTTATGTATTTATATAAATTTTGAATTTGGAATATTGAAAATCACGTAGCAGCACCAATTGAAAAATTTTGAAAATACAACCAATCAACAACCTTTTATTGTTTATATGGTAAGTATAAGGAACTTTAAACCAATTCAATGATGATAAAGAAACACATGAGCTTTGTTTTCACCAATTCAGTGTAGTTAAAGAAGTTTCCATCATTTCTACTTATTAATGTTTATGAGAAAGAAATAAATGTCTTTATAAGATATCAGTGTCCCTAAGTATAGTCTTGTTTGTTCCAAACCTTATCATCTTTCTTTACCGTGTATACCAATTCATTAGTAGAAAATAGCTGGAAATGTTGAAATGAAAATAAATAGGGTGGGGAAACTATGAATTCATATCTGATACACCTATTGAATTTGAGAAGTCTATTTTTAAGGACAGCAAACATACAAACAAAAAAAATGTCTACATTAGGAATGTTGAAATTTGCATATACAAAGTTTCCATTTCTCAAGACTGTGACATATTGGGAAAAATTCATCCTAGCCGTCTTGATATCTGTATACATAATTTCTGTTGTTTAGGACACACTAGAGAATTATAGCAAGAGAAACAATATATTTTCTCAACTTCCTGCTTTGGAAAAAAATTTAAGTGATAGAAAGTTGATAGGATAGTTGATAGTACATGGAATTCATGAGGCCTGTGAAATAAATTTTCAGATTTATTTGTTAAGAAACCAACTGAATTTTTAAATAATAAAAGATGAAATATGAGGCCAGCAAAATTATTGAATTCAAATTTACAAGAACCAACCCCTCTCATATCAGGACCATGGACAGCAAACCTATAGCTCGTATTCAGGGATTGCTAGTTTTCTTGTTTGATTTTTTTAAAAATTATATTGTAAAGGTGACATACAGATAGGTTACAGTTACATAAGTCAGGCAATGACTACCTTTGTTTTTGAACAGTGTCATCTCTTCCCACATTTTCTCCTAGGTTTTCCTTCCTGATACCTCATTCACTAGTTGTATAGTTCATTTTCAACTTAGTATCACTGCTGCATTTGTTCACTCTTTCTCTGTGTTCCTCCTTACTCTCTCCTAAACAAACTTACATACAAGACAAAAAGAACAGAAAACAAAAACAGCAACACAGGAGAAAATTAACAACAACAACAAAAACTAAAACAAGAGCAAAATAACAGGAAACCTTTTGTTTCCATTTCTTGGAGTTCATTTCGATAAACATTATTGTACATGATCATATGCACATAGCTGTTGATCCTCTCAATTCCACTCCTAGGCATTTATCCAATAGAACATAAATAAGGCCACACTAAAGCTACCAGCATAAACATGTTCATTGCAGTATTGTTTACAATAGCCAAGATATGGAATAAGCCCAACTGCCCCTCAGCAGATGAAAAGATCAAGGAAATGTTTTATACATACACAGTGGAATTCTATACTCCCACCAGGTAGAATGACATTGTACCCTTTGTAGGAAAATGGAAAGACTTGGAAAAAATATATTAAGTGAAGTAAGCTAGACCCAAATAAACATAGGCTGTATGGTTTTCCTTTTTTGTTGTAACTAGAATGTGCTTATAAATGAACATACTGGGTAGTAAAATACAAAAAAATACATGTGGACATGATAAATTAAACAGGATGCTAGACATACACCCAATGATACCAAAGGAGGATATTCTTAGGAGAGGAGCACAAAGTTCCTGTTTGATTTTTTAAGCAAAATTATGACTAGATTTGGGAAACAAGTTAGGCTCACTTTACTTTAAAACTTGTCCTGTCTAGTGACCTCATATCTTACCCACCCATAGTCAGATAGCTCACTGTGAACTCTAAAAAGCTTTCCAACAATGTGACTAGTCTTTGTCCTTGGACAAGGCAGGAGACAGATTTCTTCCTTTATGTAAATATACACTCAGTATTTGTGCACAAGTAAAATTGATCTTCATAAGATAAATTGGACAAAGTATAGAGTATACCTGCTATTCCTACTCAATTCATGAAAATATGGAGATGGGCCAATTCTACTCATCTGTTGTCTCCTTTATAATTAACTTTGAGGGGAAGCCTAAGGCATAATTTACAAAGCTAAGATTTTGTTCCTCAAGATAATTTTATTAAAAAGGAGTTAATATAATCCTATGAAAAGATTGTTTCAGAATAATTGTACTTTAGAAAACCTATCAGAGCCATAGAGCTTATGGTGGAAGACTAGATCAAATGATCTTTAGTGTTCTTTCCAGGTCAAAAGTATTATTTACAAGTAAGTATGCAATACCTATTATACTCCTAATAAGAAAGCAGTGACAGTTTTTTTCTATTCCATTTATGCTCCCTTCTCATGATTAATATGCAATTCTGAGTTAATGACATTAATCACAACTCCTTTTCTTATAATTGAATGTTTACCTGATCAGCTGGCAAAGTACCTCTTCTTATATTCCATTTTTAAAAATTGCTCTCAATTTTCATATTTTCAATATGAAATATTTAATATTATTTTCAATAATATTCTTTTAGTTGGCCTTGTGAAATGCAGCAACAGTTTCTCTTTATAAACTAATGAGATCACCAAAATTAAATGATCTTCACTCTCAAAGATTAGTACTTGCTCCCTAGCAGCCAGCTTCCAAAGACCAACTTAGATAGCAGACTGTGTCTTCCAAGCATTGTGGTATTTTAAGCCAAAACAATTAAGCCTGAAAACACAAGCACTTTAAAAATAAATTATAGTGACTAATTTCTAGCTCTCAAGTCCCTCACTGTGTTTATAATATACAGGCAGTATGTTTTCTAAATGAAAATTCAGGACAGGCTTAGTGGATGATTTTTATCCTTCAGCTGCAAATTATTTTCATTTTTTATTTGTGAACATGACTCATTTATTTGTGAAGACTCTAACATTAACAATATCCCACCTCACCATATATACAACAAAAAAGCCATGTTTCGAACAGAAAATAGTAATGTTGCTCAGCAGAATAAGAGTATAGCATTAGTATAATGATTATAACTACAAAGCAGCCCCACATTCTCTCACGGCCTTGAATATAATAGGATTATGCCATAAGTGTGGGTCAGGTAGGTTTTATAATGTCATATCTCTCTGCATAATATATGAGACTAAATTAATGGTGAGTGTGCCTGGTCAGTAATGTTCATTCATCACCCTAAATCTGTCTTTCTCAAATACATTCAATACCGTAAGGCAAGAGGTGAAGCACAGAGGAGCCAGAGTTTAAATTCACAAAGACAGAGTGCCAGTCTTATGTTGTGTAACATTTGCAATTTCTACCTTTTACATAAAGCAAAAGTAAGCTGCAAGAGCTCTGTAACAGCAGTCTCTTCACTTTTAGCTTGTTGACTCATTCTATGAAAATGGTCATATTTTCAGCTACCCTGGAACTTAGTATAATGCTCCATTTTCTGATAAAAGCAGGCAGAACTTTTACTTACACTGCAGTTGCAATGTAAATAATTTGTGCGAATCATCCTTTCACTGACTACTTCTCACCCTAGAGATATACTTTACTGTAATGGAGAAACTGTTTGTCTCCTCAGTGGGCAATCTCTTCTTCTCACTAGGCTGCCCATTTGATCTGTGGTCAAGCAAACACACAGTGGAATTCTGAATCTTGATTGGAAGGGTTGTGATTGCACAGACGTGGTTGATTTACCTTTGATTTTCTTGGTATAAAAATCCTCATAGGTGATATGGGCTGAACAACAGTATGAAAAAGAAAGAAGCAAACGTTCAACTTTAAGAGACTCAGCTCTAAATCTCTTCAATGATCCAATGTGGAATCAACAATGGTACTTGGTAAGTATTTACAGAAAGACTGTGAGACCTGCATCATCTACACAATCATCTATTGGATCTATCTATCTATACATTTATGTGTATGTATCCTATCTATGCATTTGTGCAAATATTCTATCTTTTTTTTTATCACCAATCTATCCACCAATCTATCATCTACCTAATCCACCTGTCTATCTAATTGATCTCTTTTAATTCAGTAGTATTATGTAGATGTAGAATTTTGTACATGTAAAGGGACCTTTCCTATTTGGATCTTCTGTTTTGCTTGGTGAGATGACTAAAACAGATCTTTCTTTGTTATGCTTTGTCTCAAGTTTTTCTGGGACTTGTGTAGAAGAATCATGTATTGCTTGGTTAGAGGTTTCAAAAACAATATTTGTCTTAATATCACTGTTGCTTAAATTTATTCTTTTGGTAGGGGGTGGGTCATGGTGCTGGGCACTGTCCCTCAGCTATGCAGCTAAAGGCAAGCGTTCTACCACTTGAGCCACAATGCTACTTCCAGTTTTCTGGTAGTTTATTGGAGATAAGAGTTTTATGGGCTTTCCTGCCCAGGCTGGCTTTGAACTGCGATCCTCAGATCTCAACCTCCTGAGTAGCTGGAATTATAGGCATGAGCCACCGGAGCCTGGCTAAATTTATTCTTAAACACCCTCCAAGTACTCTGAGAACACAGTTAACATGATTAGATATATAAACAGCAAAGTAGAGAGCTCTTAGACAGTTCAGGCGAAATTCTATGAGTAAAGCTGAAGGAAGAAACCACTAGGAAAATTTACCTTCAAAATGAAAGAAGCTCTAGGAAAGTGTATTTGCTAAAGTCTGTGCTTGCAAACCATTCTACCTTTGAGATATTTACCAAAATCTTTCTTAATATGTGGGCCTTGAGTTAAAAACTGCAACTATTGCTGCTTGACTAAAAGTTATTTCTCTTCTGTTTTAATGGTAAGCCTTTATACATGTTAATAGAAGGATTTGTTGCCTGGAGTATTACAAAAGATAATTTTTCATGACAACCATAAACTAAGGTTTAGATACCTTTGTTGAATAATGGAATGAACTAGAGTCTGTTTCCCTTCCAATCTCTTAAACTAGCTATTAGCTAACACCTGTTGTGCATTTACCATGTGCCAAATTGTATACTAAGTGTTCAATATGAACTAACTCATTTAGTGTTTATGACTCTTATGTTGTAAATACTGTAATTATGCTCATTTAACAGATAAAGAAAAATACATTGGCAAGTTGAATAATTCACTTAAATCACATTACTAGTTGTAGTGAAGACCTTGTGGTGGCCATGTTCTTAGCAACTACACTCATACTTTTTTAAAAGCGCTCTTCTCTAGCTTTAGCCAACAGAAAGTGTGTCATTCCAACCTCCTGTGATCATCTTTATACCAGCCTGGTAAATTCTTGCCCTGCCTTCCCCCACTTTGTAATTGAAAGCTTCAACAAGGGAATAGTCTATTTGTGACACTTTCATGTATATAAGCATGCATATCTATGTGTTTGTGTGTGTGTGTGTGTGTGCTAATTCTGGCACTTGAACTCTTGAGCTTTTCTTGATCAAAGTTAGCACTGTACCTCTTGAGTCACAGCTCCACTTCCAACTTTTTTTGGTGGTTAATTGGAGATAAGTGTCTCACAGACTTTCCTGCCTGGGATTGGCTTTGAACTATAACCCTCAGATCTCAGCCTCCTGAGAAGCTAAGGCCAGATGATTTTTATTTCTTAGAAATTCGTGTGTGTATGTGTGTGTGTGTGTGTGTGTGTGTGTGTGTGTGTGTGTGTGTGTGTGTGTTCCTTGGGTTTGAACTCAGGACCATATGCTTGCTTGCAGGAACTCTACCACTTGAACCACTGCCTTAGCCATTTTTGCTTTTGTTTTTTTAAAAAAATAAAGTCTTGTGTTTTTGCTCAGGACTGTCCTAAACAGTGCACTTTCTACCTATGCTTCATGTATAGCTGGGATTATAGGCTCATGTCACCACACTAACCTTACTAATTGAAATGAGAGTCTTGCTAACGTTTTGCTTAGGCAGGCCTCAAACTATCATCCTCTCTAACTCTAGCTCTTAAATAGCTGGGATGCGATATATACTGTTCCAAATTTTTTTAAAAAATTGACTCCCTCACTGAGTACCTGGTACTCTTCAACTACATCTCTCATGTTCTTAGAAATGTGTTTATTTCTGTGTCATCTTGTTGATCAGCTCTTCGCCCATAGACTCACACATTATGAGCATCAGAAAAATTAACTGAAAGGGAAATATTAACTGTAAAGGAAAGCTTACTCCCTAAGTTCCTCACACTTGGAAACCAACAATTTAATTGCAATTCCAAAGAAACTACTATCTCCTGAGCATTCCAGGTTCTGATATTCCTTTAAATTCATCCGTGCCATGCATGAATGATATGCATCAGATAATATATTGAGAGTTCATTCTGACAATGGTAGCTCAGAACTTTGGGGGAAGATGGAAACCTCAAAGAAAGCCCAAGTAGAGGGGCTGGGAAGTTGGCTCAGTGGTAGAGCGCTTGCCTTGCATGCCAGAGGCCCTGGGCTCGATTCCTCAGCACCACATAAGCAAAAATAAAAAATTAAAAAAAAAAAAAAAAAAAGAAAGCCCAAGTAGATGAAAAGTTGAGTATGCTCTTACAAATAAAAGCAACTTCTTTAAATCTGTGTGGTTCAAAGAGAGGGGGCCTAAGATGATTCATCCATTCAAGTGATTTTCCATTGGGATGACAGGGAGAAGGTCCACATTCTGCTGATTCATTTGGCCCTACTGACATTTTTGTTTCTTCATTCTACCTAGTCACTCACAAATGGTAGAGTATCGTAAGGATAAGTTTCCAGATCAGAGAATATGTTTCCATTTTGTGTCAAGTAAATTATGATTTTTTTTTACCAATGCTTTTTTCTTAATCAGCAAGATACCAGGATGACTGCAGCCCTGCCCAAGTTGGATCTTCATGTGATACCTGTTTGGCAAAAGGGCATTACAGGCAAAGGAGTTGTTATCACCGTACTGGATGATGGCTTGGAGTGGAATCACACAGATATTTATCCCAATTATGTGAGTCTGGGGCATCCTGTAACTATGATCACTATCTATGCAGGTATGCAGTGTTTTCCTTCCTTTCAGAGAGAAACTACTCTAATGCCAGCTCCTGGGATGGTAATCCAAGGCTTTATTCCTCCCTTCATCCTTCTATCAGACCATATGAACTTTTGAACTTTTTTTGGTACCAGTAGATATTGGAAGAATTCAGTGGAGTGAGGGACATGTATATTGGGAAAATTTAAATTACACCACTTAAATTATTAAGAGCTAGTCAGACTGTGAACCACTCAGAATTTAGAGCAATAAAATAATGAACTCAAGCCTCATATCTGAGATCATTTTCACAGTCTTCCTCTCATATCCCTTATGGCTCAGTAGGCATGACAGTTATGTGAGTGTTAGTCCTTCCATGCAAGTTCAAAGAAATATCACAGAAGGCAGAAGTGCCATGCGGATAAAGGAAAAGTTAATTAGAGAATGGAAAATATATATAATTAAAAATGGCGTGCTTAACTATTTTTGAAGTAGATAACTTAAAATGAACTCTTAATATGTCATCAGTCCTTATATCAGGACTGATATATCAGGATTGATATATCAGATGAAACACATCTGTTTCATCTGTAAGAGTGCCCTTTGTCTTTCTCTTACTTCTTTTGCCCGCCTAGCATTCCCCAGCTATAACTTAAAGCTAAAGAGCAAAGACAAAAGCAAGGAAATAAAGAGGCAAAAACAATTAGCACAGGGAAGCACACGGTAGAGATTAAGGATTATTAAAGATACAGAAACTACTAAGAAGTAGTGATAGTGGTAATGAATTTCTAAATGAAAGATGATTTAAGTGTAGAAATTTGATTGTAAAAAGGGGCCATGGGGCTGGAAAGGCGGCTCAGTGGTAGAGTGATTGCCTTGCATGCAAGAGGCCCTGGGTTTGATTTCTCAGCACCACATAAGCAAAAAAAGCAAAAACAAAAAAACAAAAAACTGGAAGTGGCACTGTGGCTCAAGTGGTAGAGTGCTAGCCTTGAGCTGAAGAGCTGAGGCATAGCACCTAGGCCCAGAGTTCAGGCCCCACTACCATCCCCTCTCCCCCCAAAAAATGGGATCAGACATGCAAACTGGTCTACATTTGAATTAAAATGAATGATTTTTAAACTGTACCTGACAAAACTAAAGGAGCCCCACTACACAGCCATATCTACATCTGTGGTCATGGTGGTGATTAGTGCAAAACATCACTTACTAATCCTATAGTCTTAGGAAAGTTATTCAGCTTCTCTGGGCCTCCCTACTCTCAGTAGAAACATGAAGCAATCGAAATTATTAAACTCTGACTTTTTCTAGCTTTTTTTTTTTTTTGTCGGTTGCGGAGCCTGAACTCTGAGCCTGGGCACTGTCCCTCAGCTCTTCAGCTCAAGGCTAACGCTCTACCACTTGAGCCACAGCACCACTTCCGGCTTTTTTTGTTTATGTGGTACTGAGGAGTCGAACCCAGGGCCACATGCATGCAAGGCAAGCGCTCTACCACTGAGCTACCTTCCCAGCCCCTTTTTCTAGTTTGTGAGCATCTATGAGAGGTGAGTTTGGCAAAACTCCCTTATCATTGGATGCAGGCTCACTTGACTCTGTTCATCACTGTTGCCTGATTTGTAGGCATAATAAATGTACAGAGTCTAGGCTAGAAACTGGAATGCAAGCTCTTGAGAGATCTTCCAGGATGCGAAGAGGCAGTGGTAGGAAGCTTAGGATGCCCTAAAAAATGAAACTAAAGTATTATTTTTGTTGTCTCGTTAGGATCCAGAGGCTAGTTATGATTTTAACGATAATGATCATGATCCATTTCCTCGATATGACCCCACAAATGAGAACAAGTGAGTAAATGTGCATTTGGGGGGAGGGAATAAAGTACTTCAAAAATGCTTTGGGCTGGGTGTTAGTTACTCACATCTGTAATCCTAACTACTCAAGAGGCTGAGCTCTGAGGATCACAATTAGAAGACAGCCCAGACAGGCAAGTCTGTGAGACTCTTATCTCCAATTAACCACCAAAAGCCAGAAGTGGTCTTGTGGCTCCAGTAGTAGGGCACCAGCCTTGGGCAAAAGAACTCAGAGACAGCACCCAAGCCCTGATTTCAAGCCCCATGACCAGCACCCACCCACCTACCCCTCCCCACTACATGCACGCACCCTCATACATACGCACACAAATGGTTTTATCTTGTTAGAGAAATGCATTATAATTTTTTTTCCCAAACTTCAGCATTCAAAAAAATTTTAATGCTGAACACCTGTGCTGCATATGCTGTTGCTTTTAATGCAGAATATGAAAGTTCTGTTGGTTTAGAGACCACATTTTAAATAGATATCTTACTATTAAGCTCTCCTCACATTATGGAATGTTACGGAGTACTTACAGAGCTGTAAAACATGTTTATGGCATTGTAGTTATAAACTTTGAGCCCTAGCTTATACTCTTCTCCCACCCCACCCCAGTTTCACCATGAATCATTGACTATGTTAATCATTAAAAGAAATATGAAGAAATACCCATGAAAAAATTCCCACAAATTTCTATGGTGGTTGCAATTACTAGCCAGTTCCTCTAGCAAAACAAGGCAGACAACAGTTGAGATAGGGCAGCCGGGGCTAAACCTCTAAGTCCAACCCAATCGACATGATGTTGAAGCGGTTAGTTACCTTTTCCAGTTCCTACTGGGTGCAAAGCCAAGGAAAGAAAAAGAGGAAGACATCTTACTATCAGATTATCATTGTTCCATTGTAGTCTTTGGGAGGCCCAAAGACATGGTTTTTGTGCTGACATTTCACATAGAACCCAACTGTACAATTTACACTTTCCTCTTCATTTTTTTCTACCCAGAAGGTATTTGCACCAAAATAGATTAAATCCAAAGTCAAAGTCAGGGCTTGTTTGCTGTAAGTGGCGCTAGAAAGAACGAAACAGTAAAAAACAAAATTCTTGGTACATGAAACATGAAATGCTTCCTTAGTAATCTCTTGCATTATTAACAAAATTGAGTCAGTCACATTTGTCCCACTATCTTCCAATCCTTCTCCTCTCTTGGTACAGTATTACTAACAGACATATTTCTTGCCTTGGGTTGTTCCCTTTTCAGAAATCCAGCATAACCCTAGAAGAGAGGCTAGGACATATGGACTAGGCCTCATCTTCTGGGCATGTGTTTATTTGGAGAGAATGGTCAGGCCCTGTGGAGAGGTTAAAAATTACTGCTCCTCTTGGTACTTTTAACCCTTCCAGGTTTAGAGTAAAATTCCAACCACAATACTTCTGATAAAGCAAAATAGAGTGTCTTAGACACACTTTAAACCATATTTCCAGGTGAGGACTGGGTAAGCTTTTCAGGAGCATCTGCTCATTTGAAGTCCAGCCTTGTAATGTTAATCTAGGAAGCAGCTGTCTGCTGGTTTTATATATAGATATAGATGTAGATCTGTCTCTCATATATATATATATATATATATAATGTATATGAGAGAGAGTGAGAGAAAGAGAGAGTGATAGGGAAACCTCCCCTCTCTGTCTCTACTATTTTTGTCCCCTAGACTGGGAGATAAGGTGTGTGCTGCCAACATTTCTGAAAGAAACTTCCTGTGGAAATAGTCAATAATAGTGCTTAGAAAAGAGGAGCCACTTTCTTAGAATTATTAAATTGTAAAATTTCTTATAATTTTTATTTCAATCTTCTTGTTAAGACATGAAGGTCCGGAGAGGGGTGTCTACTTGAAGCTACCAGAACTAATTTAGAGGTGACATCCTCTCTGATAGGCCGTGTATCTCCTTCTTAGGCAGACAGGGGCCAATATAGATGCTAACTTTTGTAGTGACTGCAAAGCTGGTGAATAGTCGATAGAAAGCTACTCTAAAATTCCTCTGATTATGAGAAAGAAGACTTAAGACCTTGTGTTTAGCTTCACATCTTTGTCAAATATCTAAAACAAATTACCTTTAAAAAACTAATTCACAGTGTTTGAAGTTTGAGTCCATAGCCAGAGAGCTGTGTTGCTGTTTGACTTATGACAGTACAGCATGACAGAAGTGTGTATCTCATGGTGGCAAAGACAGAAGAGACCTATGTCCTACAATCATTTTTAGACGGGATTGACATGCCACCAATCACCGCAAAGCTCCCAGTAGGTTCCGCCTCTTCAGGGTTTCACCGCCTTCCAGTAGTGCCAAGCTGGGGACAACATGGGCCTTTAGAGGATATTCCAGATACAAATTAAAACAGAACTTCTTCTCTTCCTACCTCTACATAGGGAGGAAATTCATAGCACCTTTATAATAGATACATTTTCTCCAGTTTAAAGAGCTCCCAAACACCTTAGATAATATTTATTTTATGCCAGAAAAGTCTGAGGTTCCAGAGCATTCACTGCTATAGACCTAGCACATGGCATGGAGGATATACCTCAATAGATAAGAACAGACTTCAGAGACAAGTTAGATCAAATCTTAGATCTTCTACTTATACTCAAATGACTGAACAATTTAACAACTTTGTGCTTTGGTTTTAATGTTTTAATAAAGGGTAGTCAACTAAATTGTGTTATTATGGGGATTACATGTGTTTTCACACACATATCTTTTGTAATGGACACTGCTTGATACAATAAAAAGTTAAATGTTTGCTGAGGAGATAATGATTATAATAATGACAATAACAGGGGTGATAATGATGATCCACCGAGTAGTGCTGCTGAGAAACCTTATTTCAATGAAAAATCAGCACAAGAACAGAATCATTTGAGAGGAAAAGAAGCAACAATGACAAGTCAATTTTCTCAGCTAATTCAGAGCCCTCTTGACTATCAGCCATAAAGATAGCATCTCTATCATTTATCAGAAGATACAGTAACAAAGAGTTGCTCTTCTAGTGTGTTGTCAGACACAAATCCCCTAAGTCGGGCAGAAGAATGGTCCCATTTTGTTGGCCTTTCTAGCAATTTGAGATCTATTACCTCCCAATTCCAAGGAGATTATCTCTTCAAATTATCTCTATTTCCAATGTCCTTTATTACTATGTAAATGAAACTAGTAGAAGCCAGATTTGAATGTTTCTCTACAAATCAAAAGAATCATTTAATCATAAAACTTACTATTAAACTAGCATGAGTCTTTATTCAAGATTTTAACACCAATTACAGATTATTGTATGCTCAATACCATGTGTGATCAGGATATTTTAGCCAGAATAATAGCAGTCTTTAAACTGTATTATGCACTGGGGTTTTTAAAAATTGGTTTATTTAAATGCCAATCGCCACCTTTGTTCTAAGTTAATAGAGAGATGTCTTATCTCAGTGCCTGACATAGCAAAGAAAAAGATCTGTGGGTCTGTGAAGGATGACATGGAAACACTTTGATAAGATCTTCCCTTTTGTCAGTGTATGACTGTGGGAAGTGAGAATAACAGGAGAGAGAAATCAAGCTGTGTTTGTAGTATGATCTGACTACAATTTTCACTAAGAAAGTCAATTCCCAGTGTATAAACACAGATACATAATAGGTGGTGTCATATTACATCTCTTTGTTGTTGACAGAGGCAGTGTTGAAGATGTTTTCAAGTCTGTTTAGGCTGGAGACTTGTACTGGATTCTTTTACTATCCTAGGTCCTGTCCCCATCATGTACAAATAGAAGTATAAACAGTGGTACTTCTGAGCATACATTTCAGGGAAAGTTTGAGACAGAATATTTGGAATATTATATATATATATATATTGTATATTATATATAATATTCTGAGTTAATAAACAATTCTAGTCATACTGTTAAAAGTAGCTGGGTGGTGTTTCTGAGAGATAATCCTTCCTTCCTTTATGTCTATGTCTGACTATGAAATCAATGGATCCTTTAAGTCACCAGCTGCCTTCACATCATCCCCAGGTGCTTCTACCTTCTGCATTAGATTGAGTTCATGAAATGGATTCATATTAATATTCCCTCAGCAAATTAGTCTTTCTGAGTCAGGCTGGTATTGGAACAGACAATTATTATCCCTACAATATCAGAACAGATACATTAATGATGGGATCTTGCATATCTTAGAGATAGAGTTCTTCTACCAAATACTCTAAATAATCACTTAGGCTCTTTGCCCAGTTGCAAACTGCCTCAGCCAGAGTTTGAGGGTGCTCTGTTTTCCAATTAGTCTGCAGTGTCCTGAGAAAATCTCATGTTCATCTTGTGATCAGAAAATTCTGATAAGATTTAGTGTGATATTTGGTTAGAATAGGTGACAGAGGCTTACAAGGGATTCTGTTCTACCATATTCCCATAATGCTGGTCCAGTAATTGTTCAAGACAACATTAGGGAGGAATCACTTCATATCCATGGAATAAGAAGCAAAATGTCTGCAACATTGATCAAGAGCGTCAAAGTTCTCACCATCCTGTCAATAGCTAACACTTATTGGGTTCCTAATATCTTAATCTTAAATCTAATATCCAATCTTAAATGCTTGATCATGGGATTTTCACAACTACTCAAGGTCACACCAGCAATTAGTGGCAGAAACCAGAATTTGAACTCACGTATTTTGGCCTAAATATATGTTCCCTTTGTCTAAACAAATTTTGACCAGCCATGGTGGCTCAAAGCTGCACTCCTAGCAATGTGAAAGGTGGATATACAGGGATTGTGATTGGGGCCAGCCTGGACATAAAAGTTCTCAAGATGCCATCTCATTCAATAGCTGTGCGAGGTGACATGTGTCTGGTATCCAGGCACAGGAAGGAGAAGCACAATGGCTGGGCTTGGGGGTATGTACCTATGATCATCAGCATATGAGGAAGCACAAGTAGGTGGATCTCAGCCCAGGCGACTTGGGCATAAATTGAGAACCTACCTTGAAAATGACCAAGTCCAAAAGGGTTGGAAGTATGGTCTGCCTGCTTTCCAAGTGTAAGTCCTTGGCTTTAATCCAGTACTGGCAAAAATAATGTAATTCTAGTGTAAATCTATTAACTTTTTATCAACAGTAAGGTTGATAAAAAGTGAATGGATTCACATGTAAAACTCACATACTTATCTGTATAGTAAATATTTACTCATATTTATGTTTTATAATTCTTTTTAATTTTTAGACACGGGACCAGATGTGCGGGCGAAATTGCCATGCAAGCAAATAATCACAAATGTGGAGTTGGCATTGCATACAATTCCAAAGTTGGAGGTAAAGCAGGGGGTTGTTGCTATGGTTTGCAAGCAAATCAGTGGCTCTGGATTCCTAGAAAATGGATAGCTGAATATAGCCTATATATCTTTACAGGGAAAATAATGGAAATCTTGAATAGCATTTGAATGAAGTCGAATTTTCTCTATGTTCTGATTTAGGAAGGAAAGTTTTTGAGTGCTTGCTAAGAGACCAGAAGGAGGGGGTAAATTTAGGCAGCTTTTCCTAGCAGTAGCAGTGCATCATTTTTTTAGCAAAGAATAGCTTCACCAAGAAATTTTACATACATTCTTGTTATATTAAGTAGCCAAAGGTTACCTTTCATCCCAATACAGTAATTGAGGATATTTAATAAAGAAATAAATTTACATGAGTTAGAAGAAACCAACAAGGGACTAATGAATATTAGAAAATGCTATCACCGTTTAGGCTCAAATGATTAAAGAGAGAACTGGGTGGGAAGTAGAGAGAGAAAACTGTTGCCATAGAAAGAGCCAGTGGATAGGAGTTATGGTCTTGAACAACCTCAGAGCTGCTTCTGGACAGTAAGGATCTAGGGGAATTAGACCTCATCTGGCTCTCACTCCTTCCATCCTTCTGGTGTCTCCAGCTGGCTGAATCCAGTGGGAAGGCAGGGAAACTTATTGATGAAGTTAATGTTCCAATGTTGAGGGGTAGAGAGTGAGGAAGAGTGGAGAGTGGTTTTAAGCATGAACAGAGAAGATGAAAATTGTCTCCTTTCTCTCCTTCAAGCTTTCACATAATGCATTTTGAACTTTGTTTGATTTTCAAAATCTATAACCACAAAAAAATTATTTATAAAGCATGTTGTTACAGTAAAATCTGATTAAAGTCTATATAGAACAAACCCGAATTTGGTTAGAAACCAAATAAATATACATCCTGGTATATGGGTAGATGGACAGGCAGAGATGATAGATAGGAAGAAGGTTCATAGGTTGATAGATAGATAGATAGATAGATAGATAGATAGATAGATAGATAGATAGATAATATACATACTTCTACTAAAGTACTAGGCTCTTAGATTTTAAGTAACATTCCTAATTTCTTTCACATTGGCATCTTCAAATCACTGTGCTAATCTAAAGAAATTGAAAGCAGAAGTAAAAAATATGTGATTGAGTAGGTAAAGAATTTACTTCTAAAATTTTAAGGGAATCATCTGGTCCTTCATTCTGAAGAAGAATCGAGCAAAAAAAAATTAAAATAATAGAACCTACTGAGTGTGGAACTGAAGCACAACACTTGTGACCTTAAGCCTCCTATTTTTTTTCATTTTTCCATCCTTGGATGATCTTGCATCAATATAAACAATTATTTTTATTTATTAGGCACCTATTACCAGCAACATAATGCAGAAGTAGGATAGAGTGGGTGCCAGAGTTTAAGGGTTCAAATCCAGGTTTCCTATTCTAAGCAAGGTGGTCTTGGGCAAATCACAGTGAATTTCTGGCCAAAACGCAGCAAATTATATCACCTACATCAATGGTCTTAAAGGTAGATGAGTTCATATGTGTCATGCCTGTGGCATAATAGCTCTATGTAAAGTAGCCTAAATGCATCTGAGTTATCTGCATTTTACAGTTGAAGAAACTGAGGCATAGAGAAGTTAAGAGTCTTGGTTTAGATTACAAAGCTATAAAAAGGAGACCTAATTTTTTTCATCCAAATGCAATTCTTAAGAAAAAAACCACAAGACTTACACTAAACATGTCAATTATATGTTTATTTACCTTTGCTCCATAGTAAATAGTAGCATGGAAATCTGAGGTTGTACACTCTATTGCTCTATTAGCCTGAAGCTAGGAATAACCAGGTATCTGCCTGTACTGTCCAAATTGCTTTTCCCTTTCTGGCTCTTGAATTCATGAGTCTGATGATAGGTGACAGCGTGTTGGAAAACACAAAGAGCTACCATGTCCACCTTCTCCTGATGAAAAATGATTCCCCCACCGGAGTGAAGTCTGTGGCAATGATTTCATCCTTGAGATTACTTAGAAGAAAAGGAAGCATATTCCCTGAAAATGTTTCTTAGCAAACACATAAAAGAATGGCCTCTGGGTTATTTTTAATCAGTGCTTAGAAACAAGAGTTCTTTCCCTATTTGTTAGTTTCCTATTATGGAATGGATCTTTTCAAGCTGCACAGTTTCCCATCAGGGTACTTGTATGGCCACGGCCATTTGTAACACAGTCATGAGCAGGTGCATTGAGGGAAGGCTGTTTGATTTCTTTTTTTCTCTGAAAGCTTTTCTATTATTATGTTGGGTCAGAGAGGGAGGGAGGGAGGAAAGGAAGATATTTATAATTGATTGGCAACCATAGCCACTTCCTCTCCCTCAAGGATACTACTTGCTTTCAACCTCAGGGGTTTTACTGGGAACAGAGCCTTGACAAACAAACAAGCAAGGGAACAAAGACTGCACAGCTGCTACACAATGCATGATATCATCTCTAAAGGGCAGGTAGTGAAGTTTGCAGGGTCACTGACTTCCCTTCCCTTCTGGGCTGGGTAGCTGGGTCACAGGCATTGAAAACATCCAGAGGTTATCTTGATTTGTTTTTCTTTTAGTGCTCAGTATGTACTTTACTGTAAACATGCTTATCGATATTAATTCATTGTACAACAATATTTCATCTTGACATGTCCATAGATGTGTGCACTGTATCTTCATCAGACTCAACTTCTCCACCATTCTCCCTCCTTCTCTCTTTCCAAAACTACTACCTGCAAGCTCTGTTGTTTCTTTTTCATAAGGTACTAAAAGTATTTCTACAGTATTCACCCTCCTTTACAATTTCCCCTCTCCATTACTACCCTCATTCTAGACAGAAACTGATTTTGACACTTTTTAGTTCTTTAAAAATAATAATAAAGAGAAATCTGCTTTTCTGTAAGTCCACACTGATATCAGCCTTTGTGTTTGTTTCTTTGCTTTGCTCAGGCATCAGAATGCTGGATGGCATCGTGACGGATGCTATTGAGGCCAGTTCAATTGGATTCAACCCTGGACACGTGGATATTTACAGTGCAAGCTGGGGCCCTAATGATGATGGGAAAACTGTGGAGGGGCCTGGTAGACTAGCCCAAAAAGCTTTTGAGTATGGTGTCAAACAGGTAATATGCTTAACACAGACTCACACATGAAAAGAAGGGAAAAAACTTAGGCTACATGGGAAGGAAATGATGGTAAAATCCTTTTCTTCTCACCTTTATTAAAGACTCTTCTTAAACTTTTTTTTTGTCTGTCGTGGGGCCTAAACTCTTGGCCTGGGCACTGTTCTTCAGCTCTTCAGCTCATGGCTAGTTTTGTACCACTTGAGCCACAGTGCCACTTCCAGCTTTTTCTGCTTATGTGGTTCCAAGGAGTCGAACCCAGGGCCTCATGCATGCAAGGCAAGCAGTCTACCACTGAGCCACCTTCCCAGCCCTCTTCTTAGACTTTTTGTTTAATTAACATTGATATGCAGTCCTTCCTACTAGGAAGGAAGACTCTGCATCTCTTTTCATAGTAACTTATAGGTAGTTCACAGTGTTTAATAAGTGCACAAAGCTGGAGTGTTCATGATAGAACTGTGGTTTGCCTAGTAAGTCTGAGGCTCTAGATTCAGCACTCAACATTACAAACAAAGAGAGAGATGGAGAGATGGAGAGAGAGAGACAGAGAGGGAGAGAGAGAGACAGAGAGAGAGAGAGAGAGACAGAGAGAGAGAGAGAGAGAGAATGAAACGCACTCATGGCTTATACCTCTAATTTTGGGTACTTGGGAGGCTGAAGGCCAAGGATCATGGTTCAAAGCCATCCCAGTCAGAAAAGTTTATAAGAACTCTTATCTTCAATTAACTAACAAAAAGCTGGAAGTGGAGATGTTGCTACTCAAATGGTAGAGTTCCAATTTTGATCAAAAAAGACAAGTGAAAGCATAAAGCCCTGAGTTCAAGTCTCATTATCAAGACCAGAGAGAGGAAGAGAGAAAGAGGGAGAAAGAGAGAGAATATATATATATATATATATATATATATACAGAAAAAATTGTAAAGTATGTGATAATCCCAAAGTATATGTTTATAATTTACATATTTATTTATATTTTATACACACATATGTACATGTGGGATTAAGCCTAGGGCCTCACATATGCTAAGCAACCATTGTACCACTGAATAAGCTGGTGAATTTCTTGGTAAAATCTTCCCAATTTTAAACACAACTGGAAAGCCAAATCATTCTTCAGAGGAATGGAAGCTCAGGGTTACAGACCTTCCTTGTTTGGGTTTAACATGGAACAGAGACCCATAACTTTTAAGATACTTTAAGAATACCTCTTATGTCTTCTACCTTTCTCATTTTTCTGCTGCTTTAGTGTCTTGTTTTTTGCAGGTCCTGGGGCTTAAACTCAGAGCTTGGGTGCTGACCCTGAGCTTCTTTTGCCCAAGGCACATGCTCTACCACTTGAGCCACAGTACCACTTCCAGCATTTTTGGCAACTTATTGGAGATAAGAGTCTCATGAACTTTCTTGCTTAGGTTGGCTTTGAACCTCAATCTTCAGATCTCAGCCTCCTGAGAGCTAGGATTATAGGCATGAGCCACCAGTGCCCAGATTTCTCCCTACTATTTTGAAAGTACGTTCTCCAATACAACAACGTGTCACCTTCCTCTACACGGTCCCTCTACATGGGCCTCATTTGTCATTCTGTCACTTGGCTCTACATTCTTGCATAGATTCTAAGTCCTTGCACTTTACAAGCAAAGACAAAAGTAGAAACTTTGGAGGACACAGATTGAAAAATCATAGAAAGAGGGGCCTTGACGAGTTCCATTCAGTTGAAAAGTTCCTTTAATACAGCTGCCAAGCAGTTCTGAATAATGCCTGATTTTGTCATTCTATCAGTCAGGCAGAAGACTGGAGCAGAAAGAAAGAGAGGGAGTTCAAACATTCAAGTACAGTGTCAGACGCCAAGGGAAGAGTGGCAAAAATTGTGAACAAGTGCTAAAGGCTAGATTTTGAATCTGCATAGTGAAAAAAAGAGACAAAAGTGCTTGCTCTGCCCCACCCTATAGAGGGCACAGATTGTGGAAGGCTGTCAGGACCACAATATCTTAGCTTATAATGTTCAGATTAGTGAGATTTCTGACGCTGATGCTAGAAGATGTAGGGTGAAAGATAAAGCTCTAATAATTGCAAAGCTCGTGCACATATTTATGGGAAACTTCCTTGGGTTTGACAGTGACCCCAACAGATGATAATAGATGTCACTTATTCTGGTTTTTCCTTTAGGGGAGACAAGGAAAGGGTTCTATCTTTGTCTGGGCTTCTGGAAACGGAGGGCGCCAGGGAGATAACTGTGACTGCGATGGTTACACGGACAGCATCTACACCATCTCCATCAGCAGTGCTTCCCAGCAAGGTCTCTCACCCTGGTATGCTGAGAAGTGCTCCTCCACACTGGCCACCTCCTACAGCAGCGGGGATTATACCGACCAGAGAATCGTATGTTGCATTTGTCTAAGTATCTCTGTCTAGATAGGAAAGCCTGGCTGGTGTTCAGAACAATCCTGCAAACTGACCTTTGATAGAATTGGTTTGCTTCAACTTAATGTTTCAGTCAGGGAGACTGATGCTTACTCACTGGAAAGGCTGGCCCATATTGGGACATTTTCTCTCCAGGGATAATGACACTTCTGCCAAGACGATCTTGCCTCTCTCATTTTTTAAACTCAGCCCTGAAAAACCACCAAACCTGTCATTATATACGGCAGAGTCTCCAAATGGCTTCTCTGCTGGTCTGATGCTTCTCTGCAAACAGGCTAAAAGGAGATTTCGGGGTTGTAGGGGATTTGTCACCCTTGTACTTACTGATCCTTTAATAGCAGGGATAGAATCTGACTCGCCCTTCAGCAAATGATAAAAATACAGTATCTGTACCAGTGATGCTTCCAAAGAACAGATGACCTGAAGGGAAATAACAGTCTCAATTTCCCCTGATGGGAACTTCACAGCAGCTGGGCAGGCAGCTCAGGGAGCTTATATGCTCTGAGAATGCCTGCAGCCCCTATTTGCACTGACCTGCGCCCTGGGCCTTACTTCTGAGAGTCAGAATGCCTAGGGAAATTACTAGATTTCCCTTCAAGGATATGATGATGAAGGCTTTGAGAACAAAGAGAAGCACTTCTAATTAAAAAATTCCAAAGCCTCAAAATTAACCTTGGACACAGAAAGCCCCACATAGCTTAAATTACGTAGATTCGAATCTCAATAAAATAGCAGGTTACAATCCAATTAGATGTGCAGAAACCCCATAATAATTACCTTGGAATGTATACACAATTCCCATTCATGGCATTTCAACATAATGATGAGCACTAATACCATCTTCACACAGGATCACTGTTCTGTAACTCTGAGTGTTTCTGTAACTAATGAAGGCAGCAAAGCTGTGTCTCCACTTAGAAGTGCCAGACTCCTCACAAACACATTCTATGTCCAGTTACTTGAATAATAACAGACAGTGACATTCTGCCTTTGAAAGGGGCAGATGAGACATCTGCCCCACTTGTGTTCTACGCCTCTGGCTCTTTCCATTTCCCTGGGTGACCAGAGCTGCCTTTAGAAAATGGCCTGTTACGATTTCTAGAATCATCATTCCACAGCCTGCCCCTTATCTGTGCTACCTGGCACCCGAGCAGGAGGAAGATTTTCTACCTTTGTAAAGATCCCTTCATAGGTAAAGCAGCTCTGAAAGAGACAGCTGGTGGATTCTATTTGAGATCGTTCCAGCTAGTTCCACATGGCTTTTTTTTTTTCCTTACGCAAGCGTCTTCCTCATATAGTCACCTCTGGGAGTTTATTTGCGTCAACAGGTAAAAAGGGCATCTTTGCTTCTGCAACTCTCTGAGGAGCACAGCCACTACAGCGTGAGAAATCCATGACTCTAAGTGGGAAGCCAAAGGAGGTGCTAATAGAATATGTTTTTTTACACCTTACTCCTACACACTGAAATCTCTAGCTAAAAATTACAGCACTGCCGCACGGATGGGCAGCTTGTTAGGAGTCCTTTCGCCCAACTGTCAGTTCAGCCGGCAGCACTCAAAAGTCCTTAATGTAGACTAATTGGAAATCTTTTTTTGCTTCATCTCAGTAACTTCATTACCTCAGAGTTACTCTACATAATTCTTTATATGCAGTAATATCATGCATAAAATGCTTTCACACTATTTCCATCAAAGTGAAAATGTGGAAAACCACTACTAATTGTCCAATCTACTGAACAGGGAGTGCAAACTATACTAAGCAACATCTGTGTGAGCATTTCATGTGGCAAAGATCACATCTCTGTGCCATAGAGGCAGACAGATTATCTATGGGAAGGCCAATGGGAATTTTGCATGAGGCAGAATTTCTAAATTTGCCAGACCAAACACAATGGACCTGATGATTAATGGGCCAGTATGATTCACAGGATTTTGAAATAGTTCCTTTTTTATAGACAGCATTTCGTTTGGGAATCACAGAAGAGAATATTCATAGTGGGAGTGTTTCATCCCCAGAAAAGGCATCTTGCTGCCAGAATTACAGACAAGTTGCATATAGAGGAAAGTGAACTAAAATATCAGCAGATGGCAAACATCCGCTCATGGCTTAGAGGAGGAAGTGGGGAATCGAATCAGCTGAGTTTCCTGTTCATAGCAGATGCAGGTCTCAGTATGGCTACCCTGTCACCCTCCTCATGTGTCCCCATCTTTCTCTCCTTCCTGATGCCATCCAGACAAGTGCTGACCTGCACAATGACTGCACTGAGACCCACACAGGCACCTCGGCCTCTGCACCCCTGGCTGCTGGCATCTTTGCTCTGGCTTTGGAAGCAAAGTAAGTTCCAGAAAGCTGTTCATCACCTTTTCGCTGACACTATTTCTTCTTTCTAGTAGCATACCTTATTTTCCAAATAGGTGGTTACTGGAGAACAGTTGGAAAACTGCACAAAACAAGGCAAACTCTCTGCCTCTTAGCGATAACCATTCTTAACCTGTCAATGTAGATTCAATAGACAAAAAATGTGGGACCTGAATATATGTATATATATGTATATATATGTATATATATAATTTTGTAATCTACTAATCCACCTAACAATACATTAAAATTACTTTCTCCTGTCTAAGTCAACATTCCTTAGGCTTCAAAAATTCAGATTCTTCTCCTAGTCCTCTTCCCAATAAGCTACAAGGCATTCCTATCAGGAAGAAATTTGTCCAAAATAATTTCCTATGGGTAGTATTTGCAGTTCTAGTGCAGTTCTGAGGACTCTGGAACTCCCCATGGAGATGGGTCAGAGTTCTGAGACATATCAAGATGAGATGCAAGATTATGGTACTTATGATCCCAGACCATAGCCACAGAGAGATGTTAAGGGAAAGCTATTCTTAAAATTGAAAGTCTAGAGCCTTTCTTCTCAACTCAACACCTGTGAAATGCATGAAAATATAATTAGCCAGGCCTTGACTATTTTTGACTACTGACCAATATGTAATATTTACCTGCATAGCCAAAATAGTTGTAACGTTAATTTCACATAAGAACTGACAATTTTCTGGCCATGATGTCTCAAGCCTGCAATCGTAGCTATTTGTGAAGCAGAGATTAGGGTATTGCATTTTTAGGACAGTTGCAGCACAAAAAGTTTATGGGTCTCCATCTCATCCAATGGCTTGGTCCCTGACATGCACCTGTTTCTCCAACTTCCAGGGAAACACAGTGGCTGAGTGCAATGGTGTGCACCTGTCATACTTAGTCACATGGGAGAATCGAAGTAGGTTCATAGCCCATGCTTATCCTGGGCATAGAGCAAGACCCTACCATGAAAGCAATCAGTAGAAACAAGGGTTGGGCTAGAATTATGGCTCAAATGGTAGAATATCTACCTGAGTCCAGTATTAGAATAAATAAATTAAATAAATAAATAAATAAATAAATTTACTCCACTGTTTCTAAAGCTGTAAGTCTTCTTTTTTTATACCTGCTTTTTTGTTTTCTGTTTTTTTCTTTATTGAGATTAAGTGATGATACATAAATTTCACAAACTTCATAGTATTGTGGGATAGTGATATTTAGCTAAAGTTACAAACACATTTTAACCTTCACAAGGCGCATTAATATTATCTTGGTCTATAAAGTTTATGAACTCTACAAACTTTGACACTACAACTATTTTTTCCAAATCAGGTAATATGTACATTTCTTTCCTTTTGCTTAGTGTAAGCTGTTCCCTCTTTCTCTCTCATTCCCTCCCTCACATCTCTGCCCTTGAGTTGCTTAGTTCACTCTCATCAATGTCCAGTGCAGCTGATGGGCCCCTCTGCTGTATTTTTTCACCCGTTTCCCTCTGATTCTGTGCCCTTCTCCTAACTTCCCTCAGTTGTGCACATGTATATACTATATGTGAGGTCAAGAACATGGAGTCATCTAAAAATGATGTGACAAATTAAGAAGAGGTCCTTTGTTTCTCGAGTTATGTTTACTTTGCCATATTTCCTTGCATTTTGGATTTAAGCCTTCTTTCTATATAAGGAAAAAGTTATTGAAGCATGATGCAGCCTCATTAATCTCATTTTTCTCTGATAGACTCTTCCTAAAAACAGGAGCTGTACTGTTATAAAAATGTATGGGTGTTATCAATGGGTCAGTGAATCACTACTGCTAAATGCACATACAGTTGCTTAAGGATATGTGAATGGAATATTTCTGGGGAATGGCTTGTGAGTTCTAACAGATTCTTATAGTACACTTAATTTAAAAGGCATTAAGAGTCTACGCTCCTCTATGTGTATATTATAAGAATTTAATTTCCCTCATTTTGATTTCATTCACAGTAAGGTAGACATGATCTTTCTTAACATTTATATCTTCCCCTGCCATTGTACATTGATTATCGAGACATCTGTTCTCAATGTTATGCTTCTCTGAACCTGAATTCTATTCAGTTACCTATTCAATGAGTATTATGTCAAAAAACACAAATGACAGATTCAAATCTTTATCCTTAGAAACTTGATAGTGAAAGAATCGCTCACATAAAACGTGCACAGTCAGTCAAGGCACAACTATGGAGAGACTGACTAAACATGTCAAGAGTAATGACGTTCAATACTTACCGGGTTCTTTCTGTAGACCAGACATGCTAACTTTTACATACAGTGTATGTATATAATCCTCACATTCTTATGATATAGAAATTATTAGTTACATTTTACAAATGAAGCAATTGAACCTTCAAGAGGGTAAGAAATGAAACCCAGGTCTCACAGAAAGATTTGAACTCAGGACTGTTTAACCCCAAAGCTGTGCCATTATCAACTACACTATGCTGCCTCCCAAAGTCCTGATAGGGACTAGAATGCTGGGTGAAAGCCTGTTGTCCATCGAATAAAGGAAGGCTAACAAGATTGAGGCTGTTATAAAGGAACATGACCCATGAGTTCCCTTACTGTGTTTCATTGAATGTGATATAGCCAGAGGAAAGAAAGGAAGAAAAGAAAGGAAAAAGAAAAGTTTCTAGCTGAAATGTGTACAGAGGAATGCTTTCTTTTTCTAGGACACCTTGAATACCAGTGCATGTAATTAACACCAGGGAAGTTTATTTATCATGCTGATTCCCAGTTTCTACTGCTAGCAATGCAGATCCTGAAGTTTCTGGTATGCATCCCAGGATACCCCATTTTTAGCAATCATCTCAGGTAGTTTAATGCTAGTACTTTTAATCAAAACTTTGAGAACTGCTATAAGAAAGTATATTTCCTACAATTTTATCCAGCTGTGATTGTGAAGCTATCCATAAGGGCACTTAACAGGCAAATCCTGGAGAGAAATAAAACTAAGAGAAGAAAATTCTTTTCATAAGTCCCTGTAGCACCATCATTAGTATGTAGTGAATACATCTAAGAAAGCTGGCAGACAATAGCTTCAATCTTCAGAGCCAAGATCAAAAGAATCAGAATAATTTTTAATAAAGGAGAAAAATTCTGAAGTGAACCATTGAATTTCTTCATACCTTTAGAGCTGTTAAGCAAACAGCTGACCCTATCTTCATTTTTTATTAAAGTCTGGAGAAAAAGAAATGAACTTTCAATGTTTCATGAAGGCTTTGGGGGGAAAATTATAACAAAAATCCATATGGGTTATGAAATTTTGAAAAGTCAAAAGTTAGTAAACCTTCAACCTCAGGACCCATGTAGATAAAATTAGAAGCCAAACTAGAATGTTCCTAAGAACTTTCACTGTAGAATTTTGTCTCCCGACTACCTACCTCACTTCTAATTATAATCAAAGCTTTACTTCCATGTTTAATCCCACTAAGCTTATTTTCTATTAACACATTTTTGATTAGCAGTGCAATGCAGTTTAAATTTTTTAATTATTGTGGATGCTGTTGCACACTAATTAACAAGGGAAGGCTGTCAGAATGAGTTGCACTATTGTTAGCAGAGCCTTTACATCTATGGGCTGCAAGAACATAAATGAGAAATAACCCAGCTAAGAAAGTAATTTTCCTCATTGTGTGACAATGATGTTCCATAAGTATTTTTCCAAGGCTAGATAAAAAATTAAGAACATTATAATAACTACAACTAAATATAAAATAAACGCTCTACTATAGAAATACATAAAGCCAACATGTTGTGTACAATTACTGTGGTTGCTAGTACCCAACCATATGCCCTCTGAATACCCTTAACCACCCCCATCCCTCTTCTACGTCTCTACCCACACTGGTGATCCCTGTGGAAAACATTTTTGTTGATCACACTGATGGAAGTTTTTATTCAAAACTCCTCTAAAAAAATTTAGAGAAACACGCATTTCAATAAAATGCTTCATGGACAGAATAAGTATCTACCTTGAGAAAACTGCCGTTTCTGCTCTAGTAGCTAATCATGCCTGAATGTGGAATCCTTGACAAAGAAACAAGAAGTACAAAGAGATATTTATAGCTGGGAGCCAGTGGCTCACACCTGTAATGCTATCTACTCAAAAGGCTGAGATCTGAGGATTGTGGTTGGAAGCCAGTCTGGGCAAGAAAGTCCATGAGACTCTTATTTCCAATTAACCACCAGAAAACCAGAAGTGGTGCTGTGGCTCAAGTGGTAGAGTTGAACCTTGAGTTGAAGAGCTGAGGGACAGGGTCCAAGCCCAGAGTTCAAGCCCAATGACCGACCAAAAAAAAAAAAGAGAGAGAGACAGACAGAGATTTGTACTATTAGACATATAGAAGAAGATCTGGATACTTAGGAATTCTAGGAATTGTCATTTTTTAACACTCTACATTAGAGATGAATAACCATCGGCTGTCAGAGTCACAGTGCACAGTTCTTTAGAAGTAGAATACAATGTATTGTGCTTTCTATTGCTTCCTACTATAACCTCATGATTTGAAATGACATGATTATCTTAATTGTTTATATGTTCATTATCTTTATTTTTAAAACCCCCCTTTTTGCTGTAATACAGAACTGGATAGGCTTTATATTTTTAAAATATAATTATTTTAAAATGTCCTATCTTCAAATATTTTCATCAGTAAGACTGTGGAGGGGCTCAGGACTTTCCATTACTTACAGGTGACGATGTGCAGGTAAACCACCTGCACAGAATCACTGAGCTGGCACAGTCATTCTCAGGAGTTAAATGCTATGTTTTGCATAAATCAGTTTGGCTGAATAAGAGTATGCAAACCACCAGACATTGGCGTTCCTATTTAAAACAGCAAACTAAAATGAAAGAGTTAAAATTTCATCACCTATTGCTGTGGCAAAAGCCAGATTATCAAACAAGAGAAAACATGGACTAGTCGGGTTTCATTTCGTACAGCAGAACAGCTCCGCAGTCAGATGGGCCAGAATGGGCATGGGCTTACTGTTGAGGGAACCCCAAACAAGAGGCTCCAATATTTGTCTGGACCCTGTGTTGTATATAGCGAGAGGGCTTGAGGGAAGATAGCAGTAGACAAGTACAGGTTACTGAGTTTGAGTGGGGAAAAGTATTTTCAAGGACTTCCCCCGGCCTTCTTAAGAAGCTTTCACAGAGGTGTTTAAAGTAAACTTCCACCTTTGGGAACCGTGGAAGTTAGCCTCAGGCTAAGTGACCTAAAAACAAAGGCTTTCACCAGAAAGTGTTAGACTTCTACACAAAGAGCACTAGAGCCCTGAGGGCATGTAGCCTTGAATTAAACTCCCTTCAGAGACACATACAAAAACTATGTATTGAATCTCCTGCTAGCAGCAGGTTTAACCACATGGCCTACCAAAGAAAGTCTTTTTATTTATTTATTTTTTTGGGGGGTGCGGTCGTGGGGCCTGAACTCTGGGCCTGGGCTCTGTCCCTCAGCTCTTCAGCTCAAGGCTAGCGCTCTACCACAGCGCCACTTCTGGCTTTTTTCTTTTTTGCTTATGTGGTGCTAAGGAATCGAGCCCAGGGCCTCATGCATGCAAGGCAAGCGCTCTACCACTGAGCCACCTTCCCAGCTCCCAAAGAAAGTCTTTTTTTCTACTTTTATCATTATTATTATTTTATATTTTTTATTGTAAAAATACTGTACAGAGGAGTTACAGTTACACAAGTAAGGTAATGAGTACATTTCCTGTCTTGTTACACCCTCCTTTGTTTTTTTCCTACCATCCCTTCCTTCCCCACCTCCCCAACCCCAACCCCCCTCCATGTTGTAAAGTTCATTTTCAACATAGTGTCTTGTATATCTCATTGTTACAATGGGCCAACCTGTACCCTTATTTCAGCATTTTGTTATTTCCCTTCCCCTCCCCAAATTAGAAAAATGTATATACAAGATGCAAGACATCGGAATCAAATACAGTGAAAACAGGGGTTATACCATGGGGAAAGAACATATAAAAGACACAAAAAAATCACACAGTACACTATAAGTACATTAAAAACAATAGCAAAAAAGAAAAAAAAAACGCTTGTGTCCCTATCTTGGGGTTTATTTCGCTTAACATTAGAAAGAATGACATCGCCCCATTTGTTAGCAAATGGAAAGACTTGGAAAAAATTATATTAAAGAAAGTAAGCCAGGCCCTAAGAAACATAGGTCCTATGGTTTCCCTGATTTGCAATAACTAGTATATGTGTAGGACAAGCAGAAGAGATCAAAAGCTATGTACATGTGACCATATAAGATGATGTTTAGTGAAAGGGAAGTCTTTATAATTGTCTTTGGTCAGGCCAGAAAAAAAAAAAACAGTGATTTTTAAGCAGGAGCTTAACTTCTCAATATTTAGAAGTATGCATTGTCTTTTTTTGGTTACCAGGGTATTATTGTTTGGGGGATGTTACTGGCTCTGGAGAGCAGCAAATTGAGCCAGACCCCCCTGATGATTGTTCTACAGTCCTGTAGTAAGATAGGAACCTTATGGAGTAGCCTCTAGGGCATTATGACTTATAACAATGCTCCAGGGAAACAATGTAGGTCTCCAATGGAAGAAAAAGCTTGAGGTCTGGAAACAATCTAATTGCTTGTAGCCATAACATTTGAAATTATAGCAGGCTATTTAATGTAGACACATTCGTTTGATCATTCAAACTAACCAAGTTTATCCAGCATACACTCTTGTGCCTAGCATTCTTCTGAGTGTTTGGCACACAGGGAACACAAAATAAAGTTTTCACCCCTTCTCATGTTAAATCCTAGCTAGAGTAACAGACAATAGACAAAACAAGTGAATTTGCTCAGTAGGTGATCATGCTACGGTTAAGAGAATGTTTAGCAATAGAAGAGTCTGTGGGGAAAATTGAGATTGGTGTATAATAAATCCAACAATCCTTTGCATTTCCAATTTATTCATATTATTGCCAAACTAATCTTACCAAAAGTTTTGATTTTACCATTTCCTTGCTCAGACATCCTCAAGGATCCTCACTACCCAAATGCTAAACTCCACTTGGTGGCATTTCTTCTTGTGGTCCTTATTATTCTGTCACCATATTTATTCCTTGTTGCCTCTCTGTACCAGTAGAGCAGACTGTGATATATAAAATAATTTATTGTCATGAACATAACAATAAACAAATACAAATACTAAAAAAATGGATTGTAATCATCTTTAGTAGGAAGAAAAAATCTTACATATACCTACAATTTTTGTTCCTTGTAAATATAAGCTCATGTAGTTTCTTTGTATATATGTGCACTAACCTGCATTCATGCACTTGTGCTAATATTGGGTGTGTACTCAGGATCTGGGTGCTATCCTGTAGCTGTTTTGCTTAAGTCTGGTGCTGTACCACCATGAGCCACGGTGCCGCTTCCTACATTTTGCTACTTCATTGGGGATAAGAGTTTCACAGACTTCACTCCTTATTCTGGCTTCAAGCAGCAATTCTCAAATCTCAGTCCACTGAGTAGCTAGGATTACAGGCATGAATTGCCAGCGCTCAGCTTCTTATCTTTTTTTTTTTTTTTTTTAATGTGATCAGTCTTCAATATCTTCCAAGGTTCAGTTCCAGGAATTTCTGAAGGTATAAAAATCTGTAGATGCTGAAATCTCTTATATAAAATGGTGTAGTATTTGTAAACAATTTAGGTGAATTCTCCCTATAATTTAAATTATTTCTAGATGACTTATAATAGTTTAGATAATGTGAATGCGATGTTATACTGTATTGTTTAGGGAATCATGACATGAAAAGTATTCAGTATAGATGCAATATTTTCTTTTCAAATATTTTTGATCCATAGTTGATTAAATCCAAGAATGTGGAACACATGTATGTAAAGTTGACTGTGTGAAGAAAGATGGCAATGTTCAGGTTGCTAGTCTTTTTCTTTAAAATGTGATTTAAGAAAAAGCCAAGACATGGTCTGTCAGTTTATAGCACTAAATGTACTAAGCCATGGATAGCTTAAGACTGGAAGATAGCATAATAGAGCAAATGTTACCATTTATTTTTTCCAATTAAATGTAAATTAGAAATCACATGCAAAGGTCTATGCTTCTATGAGGCTAAGGATTGAGTGACACTCATAGTACATATTATGAGTGGGAGTTTTTCATATTGTATTTTGATTTCTAAATTTTAAAAAGTATGCCAGTAGCCCCTAAAATAAGCACAGTTACAAAAGGCATTTTATAATCCCTGAATGGAAACGCTTATTTTTAGTACTTGCTTTTATAAGGAAATGCCATTGTGTTACTACAAGATGTTTTGTGTCCCTTCCCCTCTAGCCCAAACCTCACTTGGCGAGATATGCAGCACTTGGTTGTTTGGACCTCTGAGTATGACCCATTGGCCAATAACCCTGGCTGGAAAAAGAATGGAGCAGGCTTGATGGTGAATAGTCGGTTTGGATTTGGCTTGCTAAATGCCAAAGCTCTTGTGGATTTAGCTGACCCCAGGACTTGGACCAGTGTTCCTGAGAAGAAAGAATGTGTTGTAAAAGACAATGACTTTGAGCCCAGGTAAGTACTTCCAAGAGTTTTAGGTGAATATATGTCCAGAACACAATTTGGTAAAGATTCTTGTTACTCTATATATTATTATACTTTTTCACATCTACCCTTCTTTTAAGTAAGTGGAGATAGAGTTTTCCAGTGTCCTCTGTGGCTCTCTATGAAGACCATGGAAAGACCAGAGCAATGAACTCCGTTAGCATATTTTTATGCTTTTCTTACAGACTACCTACCACAGAAAATTAAGAATGCACCATGTTTTATGTACCACTTAGGAAGATCATTGCTCAACCATCAGTTTTTGTTTTGTTTTGTTTTTGTCGGTCATGGGGCCTGAACTCTGGGCCTGGGTGCTATCCCTCAGCTCTTCAGCTCAAGGCTAGTGCTCCACCATTTAAGCCAAAGCTCCACTTTTGACTGTTTTTCTGCTTATGTGGTGTTGAGGAATTGAACCCTGGGCCTCATGCATGCAAGGCAAGCACTCTATCACTGAGCCACCCTCCCAGCCTTGCCCCACCCCCCACCCCAACCATCAGTTTTAAGATTCATTCTCAGCTCAATGATATTATACTATTTTTTCAGTCTTAGGACTGATGAAATTTACTTCTTGCTAACCAGTTCCCCTATATCGAGAACATTTACTTCTATGTGATTCATGACTTTTCTCCCTTGTAAGTTCCTTTGTCATATTCCTTTTATATAGACTATCTCTGGTTTATCATATCTGACCATATAAACAGAATCTGCTATAGATATTTTGTTTCAATTGAGGGAATCCTATGTTTCTGAAAATTCACTCACACAAAATAGCTAAGCCATGGGCTGGGAATGTGGCTTAATTGTAGAGTGCTCACCTAGCATTCATGAAGTCCTGGACTTGATTCCTTAGTACCACATAAACAGAAAAAGCGGAAAGTAGCACTGTGGCTCAAGTGGTAGAGTGCTAGCCTTGGTGCCTAGGCTCTGAACTCAAGTCCCAAGACCCACAAAAAAATAGCTAAGCCTGGAAAGATTTGGGAGTAAGTCTTTATGGATAAAATCTGTTTTTCTTCAGAGAATCTTTTTGATATTGTAATGATCGACCCTTTTCACAAATCCAAGACAAATACTCCTAAATTTGATTCTCCAGCAAGAAATATGACATTTAAATATTTGTGTTTCTTGATATTTTATTAGATATTAAATTGATATATATTTCATCATAAATAGGATTCTACTCATATCAGGAAGGACAACAAGCTGAGTATGTAGTGAAGACTGATGTAGATGTCTTTGCGTACAGTTTATTCAAAGTTGATCCTTTAATGGTATTTAGAGCCCTGAAAGCCAATGGAGAAGTTATCATTGAAATTCCAACAAGAGCTTGTGAAGGTCAAGAAAACAGTATCAAGTCCCTGGAGCATGTGCAATTGGAAGCAACAATTGAATATTCGCGTAGAGGAGACCTTCATGTCACCCTTACTTCAGCTGCTGGTAAACAGTCAGACAAAATTCTTTTAACCTCTATCAATTTTGAAATCAATGCCTTCAAATCAATGACTATTCTTGCTTATTTATACAACTAAATCTCCTAATAGGTGTGTTCAAATATTAGCAGTGCACTAATTTTTCTTGGTGTTAGTTTTTCTCTGTCCTGCTCATTCCCTTGGACTCTTAAATGAGAAAAGAATGTGGCCTATTCATGTTAATTAACTTTTTAGAAGTCATGCATCTTCAAACTATACTTAATTACCTGTGGCACTGACCCACTTTTCATTTTCTATTCCTTAGGTAACACGTTAGTGAAAATTAGTCTCATTAATAATGAACAAAACCTACAGGTACATCTAAGATATAAAAGAATCCATTGAGACATTCAGAATTCTGGTCCATAAAAGAAGATAGGGAGACTAATAAAATCTCCATGATAATATGAGTAAGGCTATATAATATATATGAACATTTGCCCTTTTCCTCATAGGGTCTTAAATAACAGAGAGGTACTAATCTAGAGTCCAACCAGGCATTGTCCCAATGCAGTTTCAAATTTTGATAGGATTCAGCTGACTAAATTCAAATTTTTATAGGCAAAATTTGAGGAAAGCTGAGCTTTCCTTTTAGTATATTAATTCTTAGATCTTTGAAATAGGCTCTGTTACTTACAATGTAATAAAATTTGTTGATATATAGAGGGCTTAGACTTGAAAAATTAGTAAACTACTGGTTTTTAGGAGATGAATAAATTGGTGTATTTTAGTGAATAGATGAAATTATTAACAGTACTTAAGAAATAAGTAATAAGTTAATTAAATAAGTTAATTCTTATATCTTCATTAGTGTTTAGACTTAAGCACCTATCAAATTTTCAAGATTTTCTTTTATATTTAAACATGATTCTGCTAGTAAAATGCACTTCACATCCTTGACTCCATTCTTCAATCTTAGTCATAAATGTAGTGTCAAGTCTTAACTGAATAAATCTTAACATGTTCCCTTACTATTTTTCTGCAGTATTACTGAAGACTTATTATTGCAAGGCAGCATGCTAACTATTATAGACCAAAATGTTTTCATTTCTCTTGTGAATGTCTCTATCGTTGTCTTAATACTAAAAGGGAAAAATTGAAGGACTGATCTCTTCTAGTTTTCCTTTCTAGTTATGAGATGCTAGAGTGCATCCTACTATCAAAGTTGTTAAGACACTGATTGATTTGTGTTTGTTGTATGAAAACAGGAACTAGCACTGTCCTATTGGCTGAAAGAGAGCGGGACACATCTCCTAATGGCTTTAAGAATTGGGACTTCATGTCTGTTCATACATGGGGAGAGAATCCTATAGGCACGTGGACTTTGAGAATTACAGACATGGTAAGAACTAAGAAAAGGTTGAGGAAACATGAGCTCACTTTTCCACACTGTAAAGCACTTTTACAGTTTGTATTATCATTAATCAGAACCATAGAGAGTTTTACTACTCTTTAGTAGAACTAATAGCATAGTGTGTAGAGCCCTGCCCACCTAATAGAAGTGTGGCTCAAATGGTAGAGTGGCAGCCTTGTGCAAAAAACTAAGGGCAGCACGTAGGCCCTAAGTTCAAGCCCCAGTGTCAGCACTTAAAAAAAAGTAGTTTAATATTATGCAAGGTATCTTTTATTTATTTTATTTTATTTTTGTCGGTTGTGGGGTTGAACTCTGGGCCTGGGCGTTATCCCTCAGCAATTCATTCAAGGTGAGCGCTCTACAACTTGAGCAACAGAGCCACTTCCAGTTTTCTAGTGGTTTATTGGAAATAAGAGTCTCATGGACTTTCTTTTAACCATGATTCTCAAATCTCAGCCTCTTGAGTAGCTAGGCTTACAGGCATGAGCCATGACACCTGGTGTAAGTTATGTTTTAAAATATGACTTTTTTCCAGGCTCCGTCATGATAAAAATCTAAAACCTTTTTTGAGTATTCCTGATATATTTTTAAATTTTTGGATTAGGGATGCTCAGCTCATACAAATTTATAAATTAGGAGCAACTTGGAATTTTGAAACACTATCCCAGATGTTTAAGTAAAAGATTCTCTACCTGTACTAATACTATTTATGTTTTCATAATTTTAATACTTAGTCACAATAATGAAAGAACAGAGCCAGAATATCTAAAAAAAAAGATAAATATAGTTGAATTAGTTATTTTTGCATAATTTCTCCAACATTTATCTTCTCTGTAGGTAAAGAATATAAATGAACAGTGCTTCACCTGTGAATTCTTCATCAGTTTTTTTAACCTCTAATTGCTTTGAGATAAAATTGTAATAAATATTGACAGAGCAGATTTCAGTGTCTAGAAAACTTTTGAAAAGGAATTGCTTTAAATTCTAAAAGATATCAGAAAATTATATAGTCATTGTTACCTGATTTTTTCCAATGAGAACAAGTTTTTCTTCATCTAAAGATGGCTAAAATTGTTGTTTAGAAATAAAAATTTCTCACGAGACCAAGAAAATGTTCCTTGTTGGTGATACTGTTCTTGAATTTATCTTCAATTCTTTCATTCAGTTTCACAGTCAGGAAACTAAGGGAATCTATTTACCAAAACGGGCCTACTTTATATCAAATCTCTAAAGTAAGGCACTGTGCATTTAGGTTTTTCTTAGATATCTATTTCAGATTTCAGAGACAGTCAACTTTCTAAGGATACAACCAATAGAATAAAAACAACAAAAAAGATTTAATCAGAGAGCTCATTTTTTTTATTAAATGATAGATTACGAAAAGATTGAATTTTAAGCCACTGAATTCATAAGAAAAGAATTCAATGGTTTCTTTAAAAAAAAAGAGCTCTGAACACAGAATACATAATACACTTTAAATTAGATGGTAATTATAATATTCTTTTCTGATATTTTGGATGAATTTGTTAAAAACAGACTAAAATACATGTTGCTTATTCACTAGTCTGGAAGAGTGCAAAATGAAGGAAGAATTGTGAACTGGAAGCTGATTTTGCATGGGACCTCTTCCCAGCCAGAGCATATGAAACAGCCCCGTGTGTACACATCCTACAACACGGTTCAGAATGACAGACGAGGAGTGGAGAAGATGGTGGACATAGGAGAGGTCTGTGTGGCTCTACAATTTGCATGCTCTCTGTTGAAATCTCCTAGTCAATGTGTGAGTGAGGGTGCATCACACATTCTGGCAGGTAAGGATGAGATACTCATGTGGAGGAAGGATGTGGTAGTGGTAAGCTCTTTATTTCCTCTTCATTTTTGTTCTTTAATTGAGAATTTATTTATTGTAGTTGATAAATTGAAGATTATTAATTCCCTAACATGAATTTTATCATTTGTGATGAAGCAAATTATAAAGAAAGCTCTTTACTCATAATAACGTATGCCTAATATTTGTATGGCACTTATATTTAAGCATTTTCCACATTGTCTCAGCTTACCCTATATCTTTGTAACCTAGGAAGAATAGACATTAGTGTGCCCATTTTACAGAAAGAATGCGAATGCTCAGGCAACCAAACCATGAGGGCTTCTCTTTAGGGATTTTTGTTTAGCAATTAGCACTTTACTGACACAATTTGGCACCACTAAAGGGAGCTGTTCACTCACTGGTGGCTCACTCTTCCCATCATAGCTACTCAAGAGGCTGAGATTTGTTGATCGTGGTTCAGAGCCAGTCAAAGTCCACTGGAATCACAGGTTCTCTTATAAAGTTTTAGAGGCTGGTGAACATAAGCCACTCATGCTCTCGAGTCTCAGGAGGTGCTACTTTCTCTTCTATCAGTTAGTAGATAAAACTTACTAGAAATCTTTCTTTATCCCCAGTAACTGGCACCATGCTTCAAATGTGCCTCAAATCTACCATTCCTCAAATGATAGGTTTTCAGAATTTCCAAAATGGCCTGCCTTGAATAGGTTGAGCTCTGTCCTGCATGTTTTAGAAGGTACAGTACCATAGTATTTACTCAAAAAAAACATAGAGGCTATTTTTTACTAGAAAGAAACCAACTCTAGACTCTGGCCAAAATTTTATTCTGGCCAAATTTATGTTCTGCTAATCAGCTTCCCTCCTGAACCTGAATGCAAAGGGCCTCTGCTCCACAACACCTTTTAAAAATGGGTTAATCTTTTGAGTATTTCTCTCGTTTGATTTCTTCAAAGGAATTAATAGGAACCTTACATTATTAAAATACTGAAATACAGCCAGCCCTTCAAATTCATGGGCTCTCTATTTTGAACTCAACCAAGTGCAGATAAAAAAATATTTGGAAAAATGTGTCTTTACTGAACGTGTGTAAGCTTTTTCCTTCCTATTGTTACCTAACCAATACAGTGCTATTTACATTATGTCAGATATTATAGTCAATCTAAAGATGATTAAATTGTACAAGAAAAGACATGTAAATCAAACGTATAAAAGCAACCACAGATCTTGGTATCTAAAGAAAGTCATGGAGAACAACTGTTTTTCCATAATAGTTAACAAAAAGCCACTTTCCTGATCTCACCAGTTCCTTTCCATCTAACCCAGCACATCTGTCTCTCCCCTAGGTTCTTTTTACAATTCAGTAGCTTCTCACAGAGCAACAGGCCTCTAGAAAGCTGCCACTGTACCCAGCACTAGTTGGTGCATTATACATGAATTGGTGAATATTGAATAGCATCTTCTTCCCAAGGATTCCACCATAGCAGTGAAGGAAACCAATGTACACTCATCCATGTGTTCCCATCAGCCTTCAAAAACATCACAAGTGGAGGCATTCTAACTCTTATTTTACAGGAAATTTACAAGCACATTAAAATAGTTGCCAAAGGTACAATAGAACATGGAACGATGAGAACTGAAACAAGCCTGTGTGATTCCAAGCCTTGTGCTTTTGGGCGCCTCTGCTCTCCAAGTTGCCCCTCAAGGGATATTCAGGGTTTGTTCTAAGGGTTACAGCTGGCTTGCCCAGCTGTAAATAATGAGCTTTACCCCTTTGTTGACAACATTCTGTATTTTAGGAGAAACCTACAGAAAAGAACCTGGGTGAGAATGCTCTGGTTTCCAAAAGCCCCAGCAGCAGTGCAGGGAGCACAAGAAATCAGCCAGCAGAAGCAGCCCCTTCTGAGGCCATGCTGCGACTCCTACAAAATGCATTCAGCAAAACCTCACCACCGAAGCAATCACCTAAGAAGACTCCAAGTGCAAAGCTCAATATCCCTTACGAAAATTTTTATGAAGCTCTGGAAAAGCTGAACAAACCTTCCCAGCTTAAAGACTCCGAGGACAGTCTGTACAACGACTACGTTGATGTTTTCTATAACAGGAAACCTTACAAGCACAGAGATGACCGACTGCTGCAAGCCTTAGTGGACATTCTAAGTGAGGAAAATTAAAATAAGTGGATGGTCCCAAGTTGGAAATATTCACACATCTTCTTTTTCTTTAGATTATTTTTTTTTTTTTGGCCTAGATCTGGAGTGGTTGTGTTGGTATTGTCCCATACTTAAAAACATCTTTTGTGCTGCTTTTGCTTTTTCTTTGCAATGAACTCCAATAGGAAATCCAACTTCCAAAATTGATCCCAGCTCTTTAAAAACATGTCTTCCCTGCCTACACATGTGAAGTGTTTTTTCCTTTCTGCAGTCACCATTGACGTAGGATCTCTATGTCCCATTAGATTGACCTCCTGAATCCACATTTCATTTCTCACAAGAAATGGAAAAACCTGAAAGATCCATTAATTTGAAAATGTAATTTAAAAGATGAAGGAGGAAGAAAACTCTCTATAGCTTCTTTCCTCTTTGCCATGTTTTTTTTTTTCCCTTAAATTTTGATGCCAAAGAAATATTTGCAAAGTATCTAATGTGAAAGTTCACAAGGAGTCCCATTCCCTAGGTATTCCAAAGTACTACTCATTGCAGGAGTGACAATCTGGTCATTAGAGAAAAAGCCTGGACTATTTAGATCTACAAACTGATCTTGAAATCTGTGTTATCTGGCTAAAGACCTCAGAGAATCTAAAGGTAGCTATGATTCACACTATTTACTCTGTCTTCCTCTATTTTTCCCTTCTTCCTTGTTTGGCTTCTTAGCTAAAAACTCAATATTGAGATAACTAATTCATAGCACTGACTCAGAAAAAAAACTTACACTTAGGCTCAGGAAATTCTTAGTCATAAATTTGTTTAGCTACCTTTATCTTTAGAACCAATCTAACAAGAGAAAAATATTCCTGATGGCAAGAAACAATGCCAGTTACTTTTTCTTAATTGTATTCATGAGAACAGATTGTTCTGGACTTTTAGCAACTGAATATTCATCCTTGGGCACAACAGGATCTTTTCTAATCTGATAGCTGATGGCATCCTGTTAGTATCAAATTGCTTCCATGTTTCAAATCAGAAAACTGACTTTATTTGTCCCTCCAATAGATTTTATTTTGTTTAAAGTATGCTTTTAGGATTGAGGGTTAGAAATGATTGAAAATGTGAGATATAACATAAAACTTGATCCCTAGAGCTATCTTCCCTGATGGCAACATTAGATTTGAAGTCCAGGTCCCTTGGTCTGCTTCACACTATGTATGACCACTATATTCATGACTGGTCTGTATAAATAGGCATTTGATTTTGTCCACTCCAGCACTAAATGAATATGTACATAGTGTAAATAGATTAAGTAAAAGACTATCCTAAACTTCTTTCAAGCAGGCTCTGTCATTAATAATTTATGAGTTTGCTATGATTAAATAATTTATCTTTATAAGCAAAAACATATTTTAGATGCTCAAAATATCTTTGAGATCTACTTTGAATTATTCACTTGATCTCATCTCACCTGGATATTCATTTCTGCTATTCATGAATTGCCAGCTCCTTGGCTTCTCTTTCTTAATATGGCAATGAACTCTCCAGCCACCCACAAAGCTGACATCTACAAGTGAGTTTCAGATTTCAAATCTTCCATAAAATTTGAACATGATAAGCCCACAAGGCCACGTGTTTATTTACTTTAATTTCAAGTGTAGCCCCTTGAATTTGTAGAGAACCAAGTTATCTCCAGAGAAATGCCCAGGAAGCCTACAAGGTTTGCAGCAACACTTTGTCCTGGTTTCACATATTATTTGATATAAAGTGTTAGATAGTATTTTGACTATCTGAATATTTAAGCATACCAAAAAGTATTAAAACTGAACAGGATCCAAGAGTTGTTAAATTTCAATGAAAACCTTTTACCCAGAGAAGCCAATGAGTAGTGATAAATGACAGAGTTGGAGTTAAAAACCCATCTCTTTCCTGCTCTTAATCTGCTGACTATATGGAGCTTTTTAAAATCCTTCCTGCCTTTTCACTTTTAAACCCAAACCAGATCATTGGATTATAGCCAAAGGTTCATTCTAGAGAAGCTTTAATATTTAGATAAAAATTATGTTTGAATGTTTCCAACCTGGAGTATATTGTTCAGTCATAAAATATTTTTGTCGGTCTTTCTTAGTGCCTATGTGGATTTTTTGTGAAAATGTTAAAGCAGAAGATTATATCATAGTTCCCTTGGAATTTTAAGCTCTATTTTCTTTACAGGTATTTATAATGTACCAATGCTTTTATCAAACAGAATTTTGAAAGGCATAATAAATTATATTAAAGAACTAAATGTTTTCGTGAGAGTAAGAAAGTTTCAGCCAATAAAATATTTTTTGAAAGGCATGTTCCTCTGTCAATGAAAATACTATATATACATATATGTATGTACTATGATATTGAAAGTGATGTTTGTCTAATATTCTAATACAATTAATAACTGAGCTTACCATTTGTGGTCCTAGCATTTATAAGGGAACTCCCAATACACTTGGTGGATTAATCAGACTATGTAAAATATGCTTTTAAGTCAGAAGAATAAATGTTTTCTCACTATAGAAAAAAGAAAAAAATTCATGTCTCCAACAAAAATAGGATCCGCCTTCTTTCTGTGTTCCCCAAATGGATAATAAAAAAGAAAAGTAGAAAGTTTGTATTGAAAAGCTAATTACATCTCCTTTAGGAAAATAGGCTTTCCAGGAGGCAAATTACAAAGCTACATGAATAAGGCATGTTTCATTTGTCCTTCCTAGCCAGACTTTCACTCTCTTAACAAAAAAAGGTTCTGTGACTGAGCCTTAACTGAAGTGTTATGGGGAAAAAAGAGAACCAAATTAAAGGGACTTACATCTTAAAAGAGAAATCATTTGCCACAGTTCAGGAAACATTAGGTTTGTAGGCCAAAGAAAAGCAGCCAAGCATTAAATTCTTCCCAGAGGTTCTACCTTCAGAAGCCCTGAGGCCTTGCTTTGATCTCCTGTCTTCAGGCTGCTTTTCTCTCCTGCACCAAACCTCCAGCCCTGAAATTTCTACCCACAACCAGAATTTCTACCAGAGTCTTTCTTACCTTTCTACCTGTGACAAATGGGTTTTTTTTCCCCCAGAATCCATTCCTTTATCCCAAATTAGAGTCATCCAGGTGAACTAGAATAATCTTTCAGAATTCCCAAAGGATGTTCTAATTGGACTTTATCATCTAAGTCTAGACACCTCCCAAATCTTCTTATCAGGATATGTTAGACATACCTGTATGCTATCTATCCATCTATCTCTTTAGCTATCTTTATATCTTTATCTGTCAATCATCTACATCATATCATCTATTTATATATATATCATCTATTTATATATATCATCTATTATCATTATCATTCACAGTTATGATGTTTTGTCATTTATACACACAAATTATTATTATGCTCAAGAAAATTAACTTATATGTGCCTTCACTTACTTATCTCTTTGTTGGTGGTGATGGGGCTTGAACTCTGGGCCTGGGCACTGTCCCTGAGCTTTTCAGCTCTACCACTTGAGTCACAGTGCTAGTTCCAGTTTTCTGGTGATTAATTGGACATAAGAGTGTCAAGGACTTTCCTGCCAAGACTGGCTTTGATCCTCAGATCTCTGCCTCCTGAGTAGCTAGGAACACAAGTGTGAGCCACTGGCACCCAGCCACTTACATATTTTTTATACCCTTTGTCATAAGAGCAAATTTATAAAATATAATAAATAAATGGTTTGGGGCTTTTGTTCTTGTGGTATATTTTAACACTCAAGTTACTCATTTTATATAACCACAGTTTTGAATCCTTGGACCTACATCTCACCATTTATTTTCCCTTTCCTTCTCTTGTAACTACAGTTCCATTCTCTTTGACTTTTTTATATAAATGAGGTGATACAATATTTTTCTTTCTGTGTGACACTTCTTTTGCTTATAATGAATCATTATGTGTTGTAAATGGCAGAATCCCCAATTTCTAAAACTGAATAATATTTTGCTATATACAGGCATATATACATCGATATCTAAAAATACATTATTATACACATGCATACTGCACTATCTCACATTCTTTGTGTGTATGAGTGTGTATGCTTATGTGTGTGTGTGTGTGTGTTGTGTGTAAGTGTGTAACAAGTACTGGGTCTTAAACTCAGAGCTTCATGCTCTCATTAGGCATTTTCATTCACAGCTGGCACAATACCACTTGAGTTATACCTTCACTTCTGTCTTTTTGCTGGCTAATTAGAGATGAGCTTTTTTCTGATGGCTCTTCGTGGGCTAGCTTCAAACTTTAATCCTCAGATCTCAGTCTTCTAATTAGCTAGGATTATAGGTAAGTGACCCAGTATCTCATATTCTTTGATCCATTCATCCATTCATGGTCTTTGTTTCCTTTTTACATTTATTTATTTATTTGCCAGTCCTGGGGCTTGAACTCAGGGTTTGGGCATAATCCCTGAGCTTTTGCTCAAGGCTAACATTGTATCACTTGAGCCACAGAGCCACTTTTGGCTTTTGTTTGTTTGTTTATGTGGTACTGACGAATCAAACATTGAACTCAGTACTTCATGCATGCAAAGCAAGCACTCCACCACTAAGCCACATTCCTAGCCCTTAATGTGCTTTTGAAAACTATTGAATTGTGTATAGGCTGAGGATGAACAAAACACACACAAATCTAAAGCAAAAATAAATTTTTACCTTTGCTACAAAATTAAACCAATAAAGAAAGAGGTGATGATTTTCCTGTTTCATAATTTGCAAGGTTATAGTGTTATTAGAAATGATAGACTGTGTTATTTATTCTGTTCCTTTTAACTTGTGGGATGAGTATATTTTCCCTAAACAACTGATGTTGATTTTTGTCATGTGATTTACTTTGACCCCTAAAATATTAGTCAACGTGAACTAACAGTGCCTTTAGATGTGCTGTTACAGTTAGGCTTTGCTCTTACTTGGCAGCAACTCAGTGCTGGGGCAACTTGCATGCCCCTGATAGCTACTGATCCTTCAGCCTACTTTCCAGAGCAAATGTAATGAAATAGACCTAAACCAAGTCCACATTCCAGAACTAAGCTCAATCCTGCCATTTCTTTTTGTTTTAATTTTTATTTATTTTTATTGTGAAAATACTGTACAGAGGGGTTACAATTACATGGGCAAGATAATGACTACATTTCTTATCAAGCATTGTAGCCTCCTCCTTTATTTCCCCTTTCCATCTTCCCTCCCGCCCCCTACCCAATCCTTCCCCCTAACCCCCACCAAACTTGTAAAGTTCGTTTTGGACATGACAACTTGTATTTCTCCTTGCTGCAACGGGTCCACCTGTATCCTTATTTAAACGACTTGTTTTTCCCCTTCCCTTCCAAAAATTATACCAACATCAAATACAGTGAAAGCAGGGGTTATACTGTTGGGGAGAGACATACAAAGTAACAAAGAAATAATCTTATAAATGCATTAGAAACAAATGCATGAAAGAAAAAAATTAAATACATATCTAAGGGTTCATTTTCCTAACATCACCTTATCTGACCTTTTCTGCTTGACTCAGACATATACTAGATATTGCAAATAAGGGAAACCATGGGACCTATGTTTATTTGGGCTTGGCTTACTTCACTTAATATAATTTTTTCCAAGTCTTTCCATTTCCTAACAAATGGGACAATGTCATTCTTTCTGATGGAGGCATAGAATTCCATTGTGTATATATACCACATTTTCTTGATCCATTCATCTACTGAGGGGCATCTGGGTTGGTTCCATATCTTAGCTATAGTAAATAATGCTGCAATAAATATAGATGTGCTGGTAGCTTTAGTGTGGTCTTGTTTGTAAACATTGTTTGTAAATATGCTCAAAAGTGGGATTGCTGGGTCATAGGGGAGCTCTATGTGGAGTCTTTTGAGGAACCTCCATACTACTTTCCAAAATTCAATCCTGCCATTTCATAGCATGAAAGCATGCAGCAAAGATGCCCTGTTGAATACAGGCTAAACTAAATTTTTTTTCTTTGTTGTTCAACTTGTGGGTATAGGAATTAAATACCTGCTGTAAGTCTTGGGGAGTAGTTTGTGTAACAAAATCAATAAAATATATATTAATTAATTCATTCTATCATCAAATTGTGTCTTCTTGATCCCAGATGTTCTAGCTCTAGACTATGAGTACCACCTCCCTCCCCCTACCCCCACAAGGTCCAAAGACACCAAGGAATGAGAGGGACATAGATGTAGGATTGTGCAAAAGGCAATTTTGGGGTGGGGGGGACTTGTGGTCCTGGACAGCAGCAAGTCTAGTTAAATACCCATAATTTGAGTGAAAAAGAGGAATTGATACATAAGGGGAAAAAAGTGACTTCATCTTAATTAGAATGTACCCAGTTTATTTTAGGCTAATATGAAAGAATTAGACACATCCTGTACTCATAGCCCAGTTATAAAATACCACATATAACTATTTCTAGTTTGCTGGAAAACCGTATAGGAAAAATTAGCTAGGGTTACTTTGGGGACAATCATGGTAATTGCAACTCAAAATGGTGACAGTCATGTTAAGCTGAATCCATTCACCAAAATATGAAGAAAAAAAAAAGAAAAGATCCTGTGTTTAACCACTCATCTCTTACTATGATCCCATAAGTAAGCAGAGACTTTGCCAAACATTGAAATTCTCATTTTCAAACACCTGCCTTTGCTAAGTTACTCTTCAGAGTACAGCTCTGGATAATGACATGTATTTTGGAGGTTATATCAAGAAGTAACTAACACATACCATTAAAGTAACATGGAAATACTGACTAATGTTAGTAAACACATAGAGCATCCAGAAAGCTGAAATGGCTATTTCAGATGATACTACTAGTAGAAGACAACTTGGAACAAACTGTGGCCACCCTTACCCTTCCTCTATCCACTGCTTTGGCATTTCTTCTACAAATGTCAGAAGTTTGGTGTAATTTTAGGATAAGAAGAAAGCATGAGTGACAAAGATCAAGTTCTTGCCATTTATTAGAAAGGCAACTTTTTTTTTGGTGTGTGGCTGTCCCTTAGCTCTTCAGCTCAAGGCAAGTGCTCTACCACTTGAGCCATGGCTCTACTTCTAGTTTTCTGGTGGTTAATTGGAGGAGTCCCACCAACTTTCCTGCTGGGCTGGCTTTGAACCACAATCCTCAGATTTCAGCCTCCTGAGTAGGTAGGATTACAGTAGCTAAAAAGCCAACTTTTAACAAAGAGAAATTCTGGTATTTTAAAAAAAAAAAAAAGGCCAGGCACCGGTGGCTCACGCTTATAATCCTAACTACTCAGGAGGCTGGGATCTGAGGATCCCAGTTCAAAGCCAGCCTGGTCAGGAAAGTCCTTAAGACTCTTATGTCCAATTAACCACCAGAAAACTGAGAGTGGTTCTGTGGCTCAAGTGGTAGAATACTAGCCTTGAGCTGAAGAGCTCAGAGATAACAAACAGGCCCAGAATTCAAGCCCCATGATGACAAAAAAAAAAAAAAAGGTAC